GCAATTTATATTACGTATTAATGATAATATTATTTGACATGTATAATTTTCATGGCAGACAAATATTGTGGTTCTATCACCCAGGCAGACAACAAACTTTTGGGTCATCCTAAGCGCGTACTACCCCCCTTACTCCCTTTTTTATATTAATACTAGCTTTAATACAGTCATTTTATTAATTTGAAAATTTTAAATTAAAAAATTTACATTAAGTAAAATTAAATACTTTAGTTTCATATTGATTGAAATTAAGAATAATTACGGGTCATAAAAATAATTAATGTCTGGTTGTAAAAACAATATATTAAGTATACCGAATCTGCCTTACGAACACATATTATTTTAAAATAATTGGTCATTAATGTTTTCATACATTTTATTATACCACGGCTACTTAGACTTCGTTAAAATGATAATTTTACTAAAACAACAATTCAATTAAAAAAATGCAATAGCAGTCATAATATTTATTACTAACTTATCTTCCAACGCAGATAACTTTAAATACTATAATAATTAAAAAAAACTAATTTGTGGTCACGATGTAAAGTAAGTGATTTTTTTTAATCAAACCTACTATACTAGCTAAAATTTTCATGTTGTTTTTTTTTGAATGACTATAAGTTCTGCCATGATCCATTTCAAGGCCGGATACCCTGTATAATGAACGGGAAACACTTCAATAACTAAACTTTTTGTATTTATTACTTATTTTTGTACTTGACCATTAATATTTGCACACCACTGAGGTAGAAAATGTAGAACGAGTTATACTCAAACACCATTGTACAAACATGTTCTTTGCAAGAAGATAAAGATTATTATTATATGAGGGCCCCATTGAAGCTTCGCGTCAACTACGGTACGTGGTGCGTGGTTACGTGGTAGAGCCATGCTGTAGCTAACTGATGACAATCGAAGAAGATATGCTGTACCGATCCCAAATAACTTGAAATACGGGCAGAAAAAAGAGACGTATCGTTTCCTGACGTTGCTCTCCTTCACCTTCGAGCACGTGATGAATCAGCACTTAAAATTGCAATTACAAACCTCATTAGTGGACCGACAACCGATGGAGGAAAAGGATCTCGAGTGGCAGTCTCGTACCGGTAGGCGTAGTGTAGGGAGACCCCCACTAGATGGAGTAACGACCTGGTAAGACATGCAGGTGGCTCAGGACCGTGGTTTGTGACATTCCTTAGGGATTGAGGCCTATGTTCAGCAGTGGACTTGTGAAGGGCTGTAATGATGATGATAATGATATAACATCATAAAAAACAAAGTTATGGAGGAGCCCTATGTTTTACTGTGTATACTGTATAGATAATATTACTGTGGCATAGGCTACCACTGCCCTACAAAACTCGAAATATACCTACTAATTAATGATATTTTTGTGTATTCAATATTAATAAGAGCACTTTAATTAATGATTAATTATAGCACAAACGATTCACTTTTTGATAACAGGTTCAACTCTACCTAAACATATCATATTCCGCTACAGGCAACAGAACCAAATTAAAAGTAATAATTTCCATATATTTAAACGTGTAGTGGCGGTTTAAGAATATCTACTACCCCATATTCTTCCTTGGATGCCGTAAAAGGCGCCAGGATACAAACAAGGAGATAGGTTCAAGGTCATAATTTGGTAAAATTTGGAGCGCTTTGCATTTGAAATTAGCGGGAATTTCCAGAGATGGCCTGCAGGGCCAACTATTTTACACTTAATCAATGTTTTTTAAATATAATTTACACTTAATCAATGTAAATAACAACGTATTTTCTTCACACCGAGAAAGCTACGCTGCTCAATTTTTTTTATTAAAGTAACGGTGACAAAAGACCACAGAATCCACCTCAACATCTAACCTCAATTAAGAATGAAAATGCAGATGCATTTTATCTTCCGTGACAAAGGTGCTCGTTATCAGCGAAAAAGGTCTAAGGCTCTCATCACACATAAAGCTTAATGCTGCTATTTCCCACTGGTATTCAATGCGATTGTGATATTGCGTTAATTTGCGTTGCGAAATTGCTTTAAAATATTTGGTAGTGTAATTTAGGTGCGGTCTCTGACATTATCTGTACTGTATGTTGACGAATTCAACTCAGAAGTGTTTAGTAAGAAGACACTGGCGGAATAGCTCACAAACACCTCCGCTGCTTTTGACCCGCAAACCACTGCATTTTGATAACATTATTAGTTTCAAAACCAAATCAGCATCTAAATTGCAATTAACAATTTCTTTGCTGCCAGCAGGCATCCAGCGTAGGTATTTTTTATAGGATACAGTCCAAATGATGGCAAGTGGAAGCTGTGGCCCATAACATTTACATTTATCCTCAATTTAGAATCATGCAGATCCATTGTCACCTCTGAGGAATACCTCGTTTCCAGTAAAAAGGGTCTCCGGTTTTCTACACCCATCATACGAAATACAGTAGCGTTAAGATGGGTGATGAGAACCGGAGACCCTTTTTACTGGACACGAGGTATTCTTCAGAGGTGACAACGCATCTGCATGATTCTAAATTGAGGATAAATGTAAATGTTTTGGGCCACAGCTTCCACTTATCATCATTTGGACTGTATTCTATAAAAAGTACCTGCGTTCGAATCCTGCTGGCACCAAAGAAATTGTTAATTGCAATTTAGATGTTGATTTGGTTTTGAAACTAATAATGCTATCAAAATGCGATGGTTTGCGGGTCAAAAGCAGCGGAGGTGTTTGTGAACTATTTAGCCAGTGTCTTATTAGTAGCTTTAAGCTGTTATTTTACGCAAGTATTCTCTCAGACTGGTCCTACCCCGATCGAGTCGATCCATTCGGGCTACAAGCATAATATAACTGCGACGCGGCTCTACCACATAAAATTTATTTGCAAACTAAATTAATTTGAGATCTACATAATGTGTTAATTTGATAAGATAATAAGCAAAAATTTAAATATGGCTGCTTATCGCGTAAACATTAACCATAAATAAATATCGAACCAAAGGTTTTAGCAATACAAAATTCGGCATTTTTTAAATATGATAAAGGTGACAAACGAGCACACAGTCTACCTAATTGTAAGTGAATGCTGTGGTTACATTTATCATTAATCAATCATCAAAATGCAGATGCGCTGTCAGCCCTGGAGACTAAGATGGAATGCCTTTATAAATATAATGCCCATAACAATAGTTAATTAGTGGCATAAGTTTTTATCGAGTTATTTTGATATTACCTATATCTATATCTACGAGGGTGGATTAAAAAGTACTCGGCCTAACACAGATCCATTCAATTCTAAAAATCAAATCTACCCACATTATTTAGTTCAGTTCAGACTAGTTCATTGTGTGAGTTGAAACGTGTGGGATAATTAGTTGTGATTTTATAAATTTATTAACAAAGTAATCGGACATAATTTCCGCGAATGGAGCAAATCGAGCAGCGTGCCGTCATTAAGTACCTCCATAAGAAGGGGCTATCATCAAAAGCCATCCATGATGACATGGTCAGTACATTAGGCGATTGTGCTCTGTCATATTCATCCGTCAAAAAATGGATAGCAGAATTTAAGCGTGGTAGAGAGAGTGTGAAAGATGAACCCCGCTCTGGAAGGCCTTCGACGTCAACTACTGACGAAAATATTAAAAAAGTACTTGATTTAATAATGGGAGACCGCAGATTAAAAATTAGAGAGATAGCCGAGATTATAGGCATCTCTTATGAATGAACTCAAAACATCATTGTCAACGAGTTGGGTTTCCACAAGGTGTCTGCGAGGTGGGTTCCGCGACTGCTTTCAGTTGAACAAAAAAGGACGCGATTGACTATTTCACGCGACTGTTTAGAGTTATTTGAAGCCGATGCAGATGATTTTTTGAATCGTTTTGTTACTATGGACGAAACATGGGTTCATTACTGTACATCGGAAACAAAACAACAATCAAAACAGTGGAGAAGACCTGGTTCACCACCCCTAAAAAGGCTAAGTCGATTTTGTCGGCAAATAAGGTGATGGCTTCAGTATTCTGGGACTCGAAAGGTGTGATTATGATTGATTATCTTGAAAGGGGTCAGACTATAAACTCTGATTACTACTGCACCTTACTACGTCGTTTACGAGAGGAAATAAAAGAAAAACGTCGAGGAATGCTCAGAAGAAAAGTCCTGTTTTATCAAGATAACGCTCGTGTTCACACGTCAGTACAGTCAATGGATGAAATTCACAACTGTGGCTTTGAACTGTTACCGCATCCGCCGTATTCACCTGATCTGGCACCATCAGACTTCTTTCTGTTCCCTAACCTAAAAAAGCACTTGGGAGGTCAAAGATTTTCGACAAACGACGAGGTCAAAGCAGCTGTAGACGCATATTTTGACTCTAAGGAAGAATCATTTTTTTTCAACGGTCTAAATGCTTGGAAGGGGAGGTGGCAAAAGTGTATTGAACTTGATGGTGATTATGTAGAAAAATAAAAATATAAGTGATTTAGTATGTGTTTATTTTCTTGGTTAGGCCGAGTACTTTTCAATCCACCCTCGTATATATATTTAGTACCTGGATGACCGAGCTTTGCTCGGTTTTAATTTAAAAAAATTATGCAATTAGTATAATTTAAATTTTTGTATTTTTAAAAAATACTAAAAAAGGACTCCAAATAATAGCATTTTTCATTGCCTGAAAACACGGACAAAAAGACATTTTCTAAAAATAAGTCCTACCTAGATCGATTTATTGCCCCCGAAACTCCCTAGACACAAAATTTTATGAAAATCGTTGGAGCCGTTTCCGAGATTCCGATTATATATATACACAATAATTGCTCGTTTAAGGGTATAGGATAACTTAAACTATGTAATATAAAAATACTTTATCAATTTAATTGACAGCTTTATAATCAAATCGTTAATTATCCTAATTTGATAACATATTAGTATAAAATGTTCCGAGTTCTAATTCAATAATTTATTCCCGGTCTAAGAGTGGGACTCTCCAACATGGAATTTTATTTAAAATTAATAATTTTTGTAATCTCGAGTAGCTTAAGCTTCAGTTACGTTATTGGTAAGTTTAAGATATAATAAAAGTTAAAGTAGTATTCTAAGTAGAGAATTTTGCAAATGGGAGGTCTACTAGTCGTAAACGTGATGACTGATCATCAGGTTACGGGTTCGAATCCCGGCTTGGAGTTAAGAAATTCTCAGCAGCGGCATAAAGCCATTTTTCCTGCGCCTGATCTCCCTGACTAGGGAATTGAGTGTAGACTGACGATTGTGCACACATCTCTGTTTAGACTGCCGCCGTGATAGATGTTCGGTCTGAAGTACGGAGTTTAATACTTAATTTATAATATATATATATATATAAAAAAAAAAAAAAAAAAAAAATGGTTTTTACCGTCTCAAAAAATAGGAAATAACAGATGAACGAAATAGAAGCCTATGGCGCTAATATTTTACAATTATTTTTTTAACATATACATGTTATGAAATTGATCTGTCAATAAATGCTAACTAATTGGGTACGTATTATTTTAATTTCGATAGTTTTTAATTGATTTATTTATTTTGTTCAAAATTTTTTTTAACAAAAGTTTATTTCAAAGTAGTGGTATTTATTGATAGTTCAATTTCATAATATGATAATGTAAAAGCAAAAATATTGTAAAATATCTGTGCCATAGGCTTTCATTCCGTGCATCTTATTTTCTCCAGACGGTAAAAAAATCATCCCGAATATATGTTGAATAAAAAAATTATTTTCAATTTTAATTATTTAATAATTTAGAAAAACATTTTTTAATTTGCAATAATTTTCTTCAAGGCTTTTAGTTTTTGAGAAGGAAATTACCCTAACGTAGAAAATACGGCGTGATTATAGATGTAAAGTTGTAAAGCAACCGTTGACAGCGGATATTTATCCAAAGCAGCCGATACGCTACCGTTGTCAAACGTTTGTTTATCCGACTACAGACAAAAAAGGATGGTTATGTTTTTACCGTGTGTGCGGGTGGTTAAGCTGAATCGCTTTTTGCAATGGTGCTTAAAAACTAATTGACCGATTTAAAAAATTCTTTTATCATTAGAATGCTATTATGACATTACTACATTTCACAATGTAGGATGCATTTTATTATAGAGGGCGCTACTATTAACGAATATGTTTTTTAGCTATATGTTTTTTAACTCTTAAAGTACTTGACCGATTTTGAAAATTCTTTCACCACTAGAATGTTATGTATAATTATAGATGTCTAATGTAGGATACATTTTATTAAAGATGGCGCTACTTTCTATGAATATTTTTTTTTTGGCTAATCTCGAAAAGTACTTGACCGATTTTGAAAATTCTTTCACCATTACATTGCTAATGAGGGCGTTAGTTATGTTATTAAATTATATTATTATAATAATTATTTGTGTGATTAACATTTTTTTAAATAAATAAAAATAAATACCCACCAGAGATGATCAACTTCAATTATTATTTTTACAATTTAAAAATCGTGTTTACACACTTTACCTACTAACTCTGGTTGATTGTTATAGATATAGGTAATAAATCTAAAATAAAAAGAGCGTCGCTTAAACGAAAATATAATTTATAAAAATAAAACTAAAAATTGAGAAAAAAGTGGTAGTAACAAGCATAGATTCTACACCTAATCAAAATACCACTATCATTATCGTCAGCAACAAATTACTTTGTTTTTCACAGTGTTCGTATAAATGACAAAGTTGTATAGGCGGTTTTTGAAAATGTGCTACTTATATCTCAAGAAATTGACTATTATATATTATAGGGCTTTTTGTGATTTATTTATTATCAAAGAGAATAAACTTATTCCACAGAAAAAAATACGTCTTTATCCATTTCGAGCCATCAGAAGCGGTTGTCAACCGTTGAAAACGTACACAACCGCTGTTATCCGCTCCGTGGAAATCGTTGTTAACCGCTATCACATCTATAGGCGTGATATCTTTGGATAAGTCTAGAATTTGTCAGCCTCATCAAAATTTTAATAAAAACAAATAAGTTAACTTATCAATTATTTTACCTGTTCCCATAATTGAATATTTTAATGGAATAAAGGTGATAAACGAGCGCAGAGTTCACCTGATGGTAAATGAATGCTGTGGACTATAAACACATACATCTGTCCTTGATATTAACAATTAAAACGTACCAGTAAGATTGGTCTCTGGTTTCGCTACACTCACCATACGAAACACAGCAACATTAGGCTGTTATTTTACGCTGGTATTCTGTGATAACGTGGTCCTTTCCTGGTCGAGCCGACCCATTCGTGATACAACCATTACAGCATGACATTTCCATGTAAGTACGAGTACCGATTAGTGGCTGTGTACGTATATCCACTACCCCATACCATCCCGTGGGTGTCGTAATAGGCAACAGAGGGAAACATATCTGGAGATGGGTAGCGGCGTCTTCCTAATAACGGCTAAAGATAAACAATAGCGGTTGCCAACCCGTTTGGCAAGCGTGGCGACTATGACAAATATCCCCCCTATGAGACCATCCGTGTGGGAGGCCTATGTCCAGCAGTGGACTTTAATAGACTGTAACGGTAACGATTACATTTACATAACCAAATCCTTGAATTATTTATGTTACGTATATTATAACTTATATTATATTATTTACTGTAGACAACTTGGTGATTTCTACACAAGCACATTTCTACACATACGTAGTAGAACCACGCTGCAGTTATATTACGGTTGTAGCACAAATGGGCCAGCTCGACAGGAATAGGACCACGCTCTCACAGAATACCAGCGTAAATAACAGCTCAACGCTGCTGTGTTTCGTTAAAAGTTAATGTCAAAATTACAGCCTATATACGTCCCACTGCTGGGCACAGGCCTCCTCTCACTTCTGAGAGGATTTATGGGTCAGCTCGGCCGAGGCAGGACCACGCTCTCACAGAATACCGGCGTAAAATAGGAGCTTAATACTGCTGTGTTTCTTATGGTGAGTGTAGAGCTCCGGTGACCATTTTTTACTGGAAACGAGGCATTGCATCTTAGTCCTCAGGCCTGACAACTCATGTCAGTTTTGATTATTAATCGAGGATAAATGTAGATGTCTATGGGCCACAGCATCCACTTACCAACAGGTGGACTGTGTGCTCGTTTGTCACCCTTATTCTATATTTAAAAAAAAAAACAAGTTTTAATGTGAAAATCAACTTTTTTAGAGGGCGATGAACCTGGGAACAGCATATTATGGCCGACGGAATACTACTTAAAGGCTGAGACAATGGATCTTAAAACTGGCGTTGTAGAGCCCTTCGAAGTTTGGTGAGATAAAAAGAACTTTAATGATTATATCCTTTCATCATCATCATCATGGCAACCCTTCACAATTCCATGCCGAGCATAAGCTTCTTTTAAAAGAACGCCATAAAGCAAGCTTCCTCCATCCTGCAAGTTCCATCTATTGGGAGAGAGAAATTTATCAATTAAAAGATTTTTCTTCCCAATCTATTGTTGGTTCCACGAGCTATATGGCCATAAAAAGTTCCCTGATATGTTTATTCATGTTTAATACAAGTACAATATACTGCACTATAGATCACTAATATATTATAGAATTACTAGTGATCCGACCCGGCTTGCACGGTACGGGTGATTCCTGGACCTTGACAACAGCGCCATCTACCGGGTCCAATTACGAATTTAAACCATCCAAGGACCCACCTAAAAACACACAAAATGTTCATCGGTGCAGGCTTAAAAGAGGAGTTTAGTGAATAACGCACGTACAAAAGAATTATATACATTACCTTCAGGTACAGTCAAAACTCATAATCAGTCAAAATCACTTTTGACTGCAATAATCAGGCAAAAGTAGATTTGACTAAGGACGTTGGACAATACCACTTTTAATTGCATAAATATTGGGTAATAGTGTTATATACATACATATACATACATTAACACTCTCGTCTGTCACCTAGAGGGGTAGGCAGAGACTACAGACTTCCATTTGGCACGATCCTGACACACGTCACTCGCCTCATTTACATCCATATATCTACGCATACACGCTCTAACTAAATTTGACTTACACTTACACTTATAAAAACTGTAAATTTCGTTAACTGATTTTGTCTATATGATATCGGTTAAAAGTGGTTTTGACTAAAAATGTTAGTCAAAACTACTTTTGAGTGGTACATTTTTTATAATATACTCTGATAATAAGGCTCGTATAATAAGGCTATTTGCAACTTAAAAACATTATACCAATCTTGCAATATCAGTATAACCTCCAGTAGGTTAAAGTGCGACTGGCTGAAATTATAATGATGTAATCGTTAGCCATAAAAATGAATTAAAATATAATATTAAAAGAAGTGAACTAGAGCGTTAGTTAAAACCATTTGTAACTGAGATCATTGGACAAAACCACTTTTCGAAATAAAAGAATCGGTCAAAAGTGTTTTTGACTCAGGGCTTTGGTCAAAACCATTTTGCAGCCAAGATCCAATATATATATATATATATATATATATATATATATATATATATATATATATAACATATACACATAAGCACTATAACATATACACCCAGAGGGGTAGGCAGAGACTACAGACTTCCACTTGGCATAGGATCGTGACACACACCTCTCTCGCCTCTTCCACATCCATATACCTACGCATACGTGCTCGTCGGTTAAGTTGGCTAAAATATATCCTCCATATATCCTCGTTTAGGAATCAAATTACGGAGGTGTTTTCCCCGTTCAAATGTAAGTATCAATTACAATTTCATAGATGCCAAGTGCCACTTATTATAGCTATATATTATATTTGAAAAGTTAAAACTATATCGATCACATAAAGGAGTCTGCCAACACGAATTAGAACAGCTCGGTGGCTGCTTGGAGCCCTTTTTATTCGATTGTCCCAGAAAGAGAATGTATATCGCGTGTATGTATGTTTATATGGCTATTTCTTTTGCACTCTCTGTAGCCACCCTCTTTTTGTTGGATTTCAACATGTGACTTAACGTTAGTTTGTTTTAATTGTTGCAATGACATAGTCCTATTTACGATATTTCTGAACTTCATATGTAAATACAAAAATAGGGAAAAGTTTTTTCAGTAGCCTTTTTCGCATTTTAATCATTTACACTAAACACTCAAGCCTGTCACCCAGAGGGGTAGGCAGACACTACGGACTTCGATTTAGCACGATCTCGACACACCTCTCTCGCCTCCTTTACTACTACTAATCTGGTTCATTTTCAATATATCGCCAATTTGATCGACAAATGTTCGTCTGGGGCGTCCCGACTCTGCCGCTCACTTCTGCAACATAAATTTGTTTTGTCACTCTTTCCTCATTCATTCTTTCCACATGACCAAACCACCGAAGCATTCCTTTCTTAATCCTGGTCACAACATCATCTTCCACACCGTATTTTTCTCTTATCACACAATTCAATAATAACAATAGTAAATATTTATTTGAAAGCAATGGTTACATTATATTATATTAGTGACCGTAGCGCCTTTTAAGCTAGTGTGCCTGTATCAGGGAGCAACGTTCTTTCATTAATTTCGGTCGTTTTTAAAAGAATGTACAGTTTACAAATAATAAATTTTGGAGCCACATAATTTTTTAAGTAGCACGTTTAAAAGATAACAATGAAAATAATTATTCTAGTATAGTTCTTATATAAGACTAATTTTAAAAGTAAAACTTTACAGCTAACAGGTTAATTTTCCTGTTTTTACTTTAAAAAAAAAAACATTTTAGCGTGCATGTGTGTATGTGTGTGTGTGTGTGTGTGTGTGTGTGTGTGTGTGTGTGTATGTGCGCGCATGTATGTGAGTGTGTGCATGTTTTTAGTTACTATTTAATTTTAACCAATAATGCCTCAGATCAGATCATCATAGATTTTATCCTCCAAGCTTAAGTGTTAGCTCCTCTTACAGTGACGATATGTATTAGTATATAAGTTTAGGCTTTTATTAATCATTTTGTAGAGTAAGGCCGAACGAGCCTTATATAGTCTGGAAGCAAAAAAGGAATTGCATTTGAGGGATTCCAGGATTTATTCTGTTTCAATCTGTTCATTTCTCATCCTGTCATTCAGATCCACTCCTATGCTCCTTAAAGACAGCATTTTTACAGCTTTTAATTTACTTTAATGATCTCAATTTTATAACCTCAGGTACAGCGCTGAAAAAAACAAAACCCGCACAGATTATTATGAAGGAATGGTAAAGCGTTACTATTACGGTGAATCTGAAAATAACTCTGCAACGATATACCAGGTCAGATATGATGGAATTATTAATATTCTTTCTCTTCACCCGTTGAGCCGTGGTAGCTCAGATGGTTAACGCTCGCTGTAAATATAACAGAACGCGAGTAACCCGAGTTCGATACCCGCCGGCACCAATGAAATTGTTAATTGCAATTTTAAGTACTAATTTACCACGTGCTCGGCGGTGAAAGAAAACATCGTGAGGAAACCTGCATGTCATGTCATGTGCAAAATATTTCGAAGACATGTGAAGTTCGCCAACACGCATTGGGGCAGCGCGGCGGACACTTCCTTGCCCTAAAACCCTCTTAGAAATGAGGGGAGGCCTGTGCCCACGTGTGGGATGTATATAGGCTGTAACTTTTCTCTTCATCAGTTCCTTCGAAAGAGGATTTGCTTTAATTTCACAGTTGTCCAAATCTCCCAGGTTTTATTTTTCTATAAGAGAAGGCTCACTTGATGGTAAATGATTAGTTGTAGAGCTATGTTGCGGCTATGTTATGGTTGTAACAGAAATGGATCGTCTCGACCAGGAGAGGACCACGATCATACAGAATATCAACGTAAAATAACAGCTCAATGCTGCTGTGTTTCGTATTGTGCGTGTAGAGAACCGGACACCCTTTTTACTGGATACGAGGTATTCCATTTTAGTCTTCAGGGGCGCTAACGCATCTGCATTTTGATGATAGGTCACAACGTCCACTTACCATAAGATGGTCTGTGTGCTCGCTTGTTACCCTTATTTTATTAAATAAACCCTCTCAGAAGTCACAGGAAGCCTGTAGATATTGGTGGGATGTATTTAAGCTACAATTTTTTTTAACTAACTCATAAGTCATTTATCATCGTTTTTTGTATGTAACGCGATATATTTGGTGAAGTAGCTGCCTAAGCACAAACCACTACCCTTTAACATCCTGTGGGTGTTGCAAAAAGTGACAATGGGGAACTGAAATAGAAGATGGGCAACAACATCATCCTGATAACAACCCTAAATAATAAAAAACTACAGTTGCGAACTCGCCTAAAACGCGTGGCAACTTTCGCAAATAATTCCCTAATAAGACAATCTTTGGGGAGACCTACGTTCATCGGTGGACTTTTGATAGACTGTAAATTATATTTTAATGTTTGTAATTCTTACAATAAGGTATTTTACACCATGTAAAAAATTAAAAAATATATATTTATGATAGATATTGTAAAAAGTTAACGATAAATATTGATTTCTATTTATAAAATTGCATTATAAATTTTATATTTCAATTTTAAGAATTTTTTTGTCTGTGCCTCAAATCTGTAAAACGCTGTCGGCCATATTAGATACTGCAGTGACGTCACTGATTAAGAGAACTTGCTAATGTGCTGTGTTATTTCGAAAATTTTCAAGTTATCATTATGATTATTGAGTTTTATTCCGAATTTTATTGATAAAGCATCATGTAAGACGAATTCGTAAAAGCAGAAAGTACTAATCTACCAAGGATAAATAAATTGACGGTGGCAAATAATTTTACATGCAATCTCAATTTTTGTTCTGCTGATTTGATAAATGTTAAAACATCAGTGTAACTACCTATTACCAAATAGTTTTTATTCAAAAACACAATACGAGGTCAAAGTGTATTTTCATAAAACATAGTTTAGTAGCTATCATAGTTTAGTTTATCTATTATTAAAATCATTAGCAATCATTAGTTATAATATCTAAGTTGACATAATTTTTTACAAAATTTGACTTGAGATACCTTTCACCTCATGATGTTTGTCTTGTATACGATAGTTAAATATAAATCATACTTACATCAAAATGATCTTCATAGAAGTACAGTCTAATTTTTGTAGACAATGTATTCGGGTATCTTCTTGCCAGTTTTAACCAAATACGAGTATTTCTCAGTAGGCACTTTAATTCATAACTTTCCCGGCGTTCTTAAGCTCATATTTTTGCATTCAGGCACAACACAACAATGATATAGATGATAACTCATTATTAAACATTAAAAAGTATCTTATTCCTTTTCAAAATCGGCAAAATTCTAGGGCAGTGACGTCACGAGTTGAACAGCATGGCAGCTAGCGTTTTCACACGATAATTTAAAACGATAGACTAAAATAAAGAAAAAAAAACTTTAAAAAAAAGTAATTTTTATGGTACTGTAAGGTTTAAAAAAAATTATATAAAAATTATAGTGGTTCATTATCACACTAGGATCCATTTAAAATACTTTTTGAAAATGGGTGTAATACCCTATTAGACTTCCAGATTAGTTCCACAAAAACTCCACCCAGGTTCATTTCTAAAGTGTTTCTAAAATTATCCACAGATTAATCCCGTCACTAATAGTTATGAGACGAATGAGATGGTATGTCGTAGCTATGGTGGTGATGACTTAGTAGATTACTTACCGAATGCCGACGACTTTACGTACCAAGGTAATATAATATCAATAATAACGTCATAGATGCATTACAAATACAATTACATATTATATGTGTCTTAAGTCTGTTCTGTGAGAGTTGATAATGATTTACGTGGTAGAGCCACGCTGCAGCTTGTTTATGGTTGTAGCACGAATGGGTCGGCTCGACGGGGGAAGGACCACGCTCTTACAGAATACCAGCGTAAAATAGCAGCTTAATGCTGCTGTGGTTCGTATGGTGAGTGTAGGGAACTGGAGACCCTTTTTACTTGAAACGAGGCAGTCCTCACGGGTGACCACATACTGAATTTTGATTCCTAATCGAGGATAGATGCAGATGTCTATGGGCCACAGCGACCACTTACCATCAGGTGGACTGTGTGCTCGTTTGTCACCCTGTCCTAAAAAAAATATAAGGTGATAACAAAAAATATTTTTAGGAATAAGTATAAAAGAATTACATTAACACAGCAGCATTAAGCTACTATTTTACGCTGGTATTCTGTAAGAGCATGGTCCTTCCCCGGTTGAGCCGACCCATTCGTGCTACAACTATACCACTAATATAATTGCAGCATGGCTCTACCATGTCAGATATATTTTAAACATAACATTATAAATTTGAAAGTCTGTTTAGATGTTTGAATGATTTTTACATAATCACGCAAAAACTACGGAACCGATATTGACGTTGATGAAATTTGTCCCAAATTATAGTTTTTAAAGCCATAATGCTAAAACTTCAGCAATAAAATTTCATTTCTTGGCTTCTGCTGCTTTAACTATTGGGTCCTTACATACGAAATTAGCGTTTTGTCGTTCTGACCACTTTGATCTGAAATATCTCCTCTTTGGTTAAGAATTCCAAATTCAAATTTATAAATTCATTTAGCTGGTACATTTGAGTTTTCAAACCAGTCATTCATTTGTTTTTTTCCTCATTATTTTTTTGGCATCGCTTATTACCGCTCAATGAAAAACATGAAATATTGGTATATTTACAAGTACGAGTTCCACCGTGGCTCCAGTGCTGCAAAAGCCGCTCGAAGGTTTAATGATGTGTACGGTGCTGGTGTCGCAAAAGGAAGCACTGTACGTTTTTCGTTTCAACGTTTTCGTTCTGGAAATTTCGACAACCCCAAAACAACCAACCAGAACCAACCCCGTGGACGACCGGAGACCAAAGTGGAAAATGAAGAATTAAAGGCTATTGTGGAAGCGGAGCCACAAAGCACTTCAGAGATAGCTGCAGACTTTGGGTAAGTGATAAAGCCGTATTAATCCACTTGAAGCAAATCGGGAAAGTAAAAAAACTTGAACGATGGGTACCTCATGAATTGAGTGAATCGAACTTGCATACACGCGCTGACTGCTGTGTTACTTTGCTCAACTGACACAAAAATGAAGGTATTTTAAATCGAATCATTACTTATGATGAAAAGTTGATACTGTACGATAATCGGAAGTGCTCGTCGCAATGGCTGAACCCTGGAGGTTACTCGTGAGTGTTTGGTGTCGTTCACTACAGCTTTCTGAAATCTGGCCAAACGATTACGGCAGATATCTATTGTCAGCAACTGCAAACCATGAAGGAAGAGCTAGCTGCTAAACAACCGACATTGGTCAATCACTCCAGGCCACTGCCGCTTCACGACAACGCAAGACCACACACTGCACAACAAACAACCACTAAGTTAGATGAGCTACAACTGGAATATCTGCGACATCCACCGTACTCCCGGACCTTGCTCCAACAGACTACCGTTTTTTCCGGAATTTGGACAACTTCTTACAAGGAAAAAAATTTAGCGCCGATGCGGCAGTGCAAACTGCCTTCAAAGTGTTTATTGATTCTCGCCCCCATTTTTTTTAGTAAAGGGATCAATGAACTACCTATGAGATGGCAAAAGTGCATAGATAACAACGGTGCATACTTTGATTAATTAAATATAATTTACAAAAAAAATGACTTTATATTCCTCCCGTACAAAACGCAAATTTCATACGTAAGGACCTAATATATAGTAGGTACGTGAGGGTAATATGATCATCCGGATATGGTAATTTTTTATAACTCAAAAACATTTGAGTTCCGGGTATTGATGGGGCTGTCGCGTTTCTGTAGCACTTCTGCTATGTTTGCGGAGGCTCACGTAGATTGTTTCACCGCCATAATACGTAAACGTTGCGCTTCACACCTTAGGCGCATTCGCGACAGCCCCAACAGTATCTTGTGTGCTTTGGCAGACCGTTGCGACTCGCCGATGCTTGCTCGATGGATACGGCTGCACGCAGTCCAGTAGTCATCTTGCGGGCGGGGCCGGGTGCCATATTTGTTTGTGTGGTTTTTCTGTTTGTCCTTGTTTTATGTTATATGTGTTATGTTTCAATAGTCAATTACTAACATTAGTTATAAGCTCTAAAAATTGTTACTAATCTATAATATGGATCATGATGTCCGAAATAAACGTTTATTATTATTATTATAAATGGCTCTGTGATACGATACCTCTTCATCATATCAACGCCATTGTGACAGTTGACTTTGTAGTTTGTATTTTAAATAGGTTTTAGTATTGTGTAGCGTAGATTTTTTTTGTTGATTTTTCAATGTTACTAATTATTACGAAAAAAACATTTTCTGTTTTTTTCCAACGTATTACATATAAATTATACGACTGTGTTATTGTCTCCGCCTTCCTAGTTTTGGTTATAAAAGTCGGCAAAGCTTAAAGTGAAATATTATCCTCACTTACCTTATTAGACAAACCTATAATTAATATGCACTAATATAGTTATATTTTGAATAGATCCGCGACTATATCTGTACATCATAGATTATTCACAATAACTGTCTTATGTTTTAATAAATAATGAAAATCTTGCGAGCAGTTAGAAGTATTGCAAAATTCAGTGGCTTTTAATTACACGCGTGCGTAGCCGCGGAAATAAAACTGTAAAAATGTAACGTGAACTGTTTTTTTTTACTCATAAACTAACATCACGACAAACCAGCTTGCAATACTTTTAACGGTAAGTGGCAAACGCAACCCTTGGACTTTCAGCCGAGTCTTTTTTTAACGTTACTCCCACACAAGTCTAAGTAAAGCAAGCTAAAGGTGAATTGTTAAGGTAAAATGTCCTCCAATCCGACATTTTCCAGCTATCTATTCCTTCTTCCACCTTCAAACCCGCAAAATATCTGGAGATCATTACATCAACCGTCTACCTCATTGGTCTAGAGCTCGTAAGCACGACTGCTGATATTGATGTGATTTGAATCCCGGTCGGGTCAGTTAGTTAGTTAAACTTTGAGTAAAAAAATGTTATAAAAACCGACTTTTGGGTATATAATAAAAAATTACTCATAAGAGTGACATTAAAGACAATTAACAAGCCAATCAAGGCAAACTTTTAAACAAAACCTATATTTAAACTCAAATTAAAAAGTTGGCAAAAATTGTTCGCAGTTTCGCAGTAAAGAAAGCAATATTACGCAATAATTCCAAAAAACAAATGAAATTCGAAAAAAAAATTTTAAATCTTTATTTTATTTTCTAGCATTTACTAATGTTTGTGGCCAGTAGGCATTGGTTATACAACACGTGTTATATAAATCAATGCCAGTAGGCACAAAATTACAACTGGAAAAATTCAACCTTTTTTTGCATTCCTCTAAGTTTGTCCATAAGTGTAGTTTCTGAACTCGGGTCTTTAATTTTTCTTTACACTGAATCTTACATATTAGTTATTTTAACCTCCGACGCACAAAAGGGTATTATATGTTTTTTGTTAACGTGTAAGGCATCGTAGCTTCCAAACGGATGAAATGGTTTAGATTAATTTTTTTATGTTTGAAAGGTGACTTCGACTTTCTCGAGAGTGTTTTAGCTACTTTCAGCCGTTTGAATATTATCAGCACTTTTTGTTTCGAAGATATTAAAGTTATTTTAATTTTAGTTCTTTGAATTCGGCTTTTAGTTTGTACTAAAAGTGCAAATAATTTTCGTACTCTATTTCAGGCGAACAAACGATTGATGATAAAACAGTACAAGTATGGAAAAGTGAAGGCAACGACGATGATATGGCGTACAAAGTCGAGAAGGTCCTCTACACGTATAGAGATGGAGACACTGACGCTCCAGTTAGGTAAGGTTTTTGATTTTTTTACCTTATAAAAACGGCGTCAGAGAATCAATTACCCTATATTTATTCACCGTAAGAGTCTTTTTAAAAGGCCGACAATGCACCTGCGATTCCCCTGGGGTTGCAAATGTTCATGTGCGATGGTGATCACTTACCATCGATGAGCCATTTGCTCGTTTGCCTTCACTTCTATAAAAAAGCATCAGTTCATCAAATTGTCTCATGGGCGGCGCAAGATCTAACTAAAGGAGGTAGAACCAGAGGTGATTTACCTGACAAAATTCCTTAACCGGTGACGCGAAGACCTTGAATGAATATAAATAACGCGTTTTTGATTCCAAGATAATTTACCCATCATAAAGACACAGCGTAAGACATGCCCGATATAAAAAGGTGAATAGAGTGAAGACGTATGATATTAATGCATTTCTGATAAACTCACTTAAATGTTTCTGTAGGATGTTACGAGTATGTTGCCAAATTTCAATCATTTACGTCCATTATAGACATATACCGAGGTGACTTTACAAGTAATTTAATTTTTCTACTTTTCGCACGGACTAGTATTTATGATGTTTCTAAATTGAAGCCCACGCGAGCGAAGCCGCGGGTAAAAGCTAGTATTTTAATAATTTTTATTTGCTTAATATCTACAAACATTTACTATTTGTATTAAAACCAGTGATGTCCGCGCACTGTTATAAAATAGTTCCGCCATCCGCCGTGCTACAGCGCCGCGGCCTCTGTAACGGAAGCAAGGGTGAAATCGCAAAACTCACTCTTAAGTATAAGGGTGCTGACAGTATAAAAGTGTTGTAGATCCTTTGCAACACATGGATTGTGTCCTCCTTTCTGCCAAGGAGGGTCGCGTTCGTATACGGCTTAGAGATCTCTAGTCAGATCGTTAAGCCAATTCCTAAAAGGTTGGGTTTAGTGGGTAAAAGTCACCACATAACCACGCAGCCGGCTGCGTGGTATGCTATGAGCATTCCCAACCTCCCTCCCCCACTTTCCGGAGGGTTGCCCATATTTGCTTCGGGCGCAAAAAAAATTTGCAACACATGCTGAGTCGGAGCCCTTTGTTGTCCTTTTTCACGCTGTGATTTTTGTATTAGTTTAACGTCTACGCTTCGCTACTTTTGGCCAATGAATAAATATTTAATTATTAGTTTTACTTGTAATAAAATTTAATTGTGCATAAAAGATTGGAGGAGATCAAGTACAGATTGTGGACCAACGGGTTGGACGATCACACCATCACCAACTTCTATGTCTTCAAGACGATCCTTAAATCAGAAGACCTGGAAGTCGAGAACTGTACGTACCTTTTATTGAACTATCATGTAAAACTCCTTTTAAGATTTTGAACAAAATAAATTTAATTTTCCAATAAATTTTAACCAACTGTTCAAAAGTATATGCCCCATAAAACTAGCAGGCCTTTTTAGATAGATGTAGGTATACCTCTTCATAACAATTACTAACAACAATCAATAACAACTTAATACTACAATTAATAACAATTAAGAGGTATAACATCTACCTTAAAAAGGCTGCTAGTTTTATGGGGCACATACTTTTAACAGCGGGTTCAAATTTATTGCGAAGTTAAACTTATTTTGTTCAAAATCTTAAATCTTATACATCTACTAGTTATTACTGATTTGCCTTTCAACTTATTTAAAGCACATGTACTCGTATAAAGAATTTATAGGAATAAAGTATAATAAATTAGACGATTAATTAAAAGATAAGAATGCATTGACATAATGAATTTCCTTTGAGGTTTTTGTTACTTATGTATACAGGGTTATTTTGCAATAACCTCTCAAATTTGCAAGGAGGGTTCAGAATAAGTAATATAAGCAAATGGTGAAGAAATATTTTTTACAGTAAATCTCAAACATTCTGCCCCTTTTTGTCTTTTAAATTCAAAATGCGTTGTAAAATTGTAATGGATTATTTTAACTGATTTTACTTCGTACGCACACATTTTTAAGGGTCAATCGGTAGGCAACAACTTTGTCGCCCATTAATAACATTCAATTTGGGATAATTTCAAATAAAAGTAGAATCCTTATTTACGTGTATTTTCAAAAACTGCAGTAATGGTATATTATCATTTATATAATTTAATTTAGATTCAAAATGTGGTAACATTTGAAAAATAACCCTATATTGAATGAAAATATTCTATTCTATCAAACAATGTTTTCCAAGTCCATTGGCTTACAAATTTACAACCTTGACCTCAACTTTAGTATTTAAGCAAGCACACCACATCCTATTTTCTGATATATCAATTTAAAGTATACATATTTTTAAATAAAAAACAAAATGTTCGTTGTGTACGTTACGGTTCGTTGACGGGCCGTATTGAACCTACATATTCCTTTAGCTTTAAAGCGATATTTTATCACATTGTTTCTTTTCTTTTCAGTGGATTATTGCGATGAATTGGGGAAATTGGGTGACAACTTAAGAATTGATCTGCAAATCTTGCATCCTGGCTTTTCCGGAGATGTTGACAAAGCTTTCAATAGGTATGATTTGTTCTGTAATGTTAAAAGGTGTTAAATGAAAGGAGACGTGTTGCTCAGTTTAAAAACTAATTATACTATTAAGTTAACAGCTACAATTAAACATTAATATATACCGTCATGAGGGCTGCATTACACTTCCCACTGACAAAAAATTAAATGAATACATTTGCTTTTTGCAACTATAGAAACTTATAAAAATATTACGTCCAATATGTACAAAAATTATATAGGTTACATATAATGTAACTTATATGGGTTCGAAAAATATTATATTTGATACTTATGCAATGACACAGAATTATGATTAATCCTTCCAAAGGGAAAAGAAGAAGAAGAAGTCTTCCGTGTCACCCATACAAATGGGTGTCCCTCAAGGCTCAACTCTTAGCCCATGCCCCTTTTTAGTGTATATTAATGACTTACCTTAACTTGTAGGGGATAATCATAATACAATATTATTTTCTGATTATACTTCCTTGTTTTTAAACTTATTTTCTTTATAGGACAAGGTGACAAACAAGAAAACAGTCCACCTGATGGTATGTGGTTGCTGTGGCCCATATACATCAAAATCTATCTTCGATTACGAATCAAAATGCAGATGCGTTGTCACCCGTGAGGACTACGATGGAATGCCTTGATTCACTCACCATACGAAATACAGCAGCATTAAGCTACTATTTTACGCTGGTATTCTGTGAGAGCGTGGTCCTTCCCGATCGAGCCAACCCATTTGTGCTACAACTATACTACTAATATAACTACAGCATGGCTCTATCAAGTAGAAAACTTATACGTCAATCATTTAAATCTGACGAAATGAATAATGCTATATCAGAATCAGTGCATTGGTTTAACTTTAATAATCTACATTTAAACTGCAATAAAACTAAATGTAATAAGTATACAACAACGAATGTTAAATATCTGAATGCCAATGTGCGTTTAAATCGGGAATAACTGAGCCCTGGTGGATCCTCTGTTTTTCTTGGCATCCCTCTCGACGCTAAGCCTTAATGGGGCCCACATATATCCAAACTAGCAAGCAGACTAAGCTCTGCAGCTTATGCTGTAAGAAAAAGTTTAGAGATCTCACTAGTGTCAAGACAGCTAGATTAGTTTATTTCAGTTAATTTTAAATAGTGAAGCTATTAAACATTTTTGGGAGAGGGCCAGAGCTATTTACAACTAAAACGGAGAGTCTTTTAGTGAAAAATTAAAAAAAAAAATAAAATGTTATGTATGTTCACAAAAAAGAGTGTTAGTAAAAAGTGATATACACTCTTAAACATTAGGAACAAACACAAGCTAGTGATACCAATTTCTTGATTCCACAGAGTCAGTAATTCCCTATTGGGGCAATGTGTACGCTATTACAACAAAGTGCCATAAAATATACAAGGTCTCTCTATTGCCAAGTTTAAATATTAAATTAAACAAAAACTGTATAAAAAGGCTTATTAGAATATAGATGAATACATGGTTGACAATAACACCTGGGAATGAGGTGTTCGCTTCCAAGCTGTTCTAACAACATTCATATTGTAAAAATTATTTAATAAAATCCAGCGGGTTTCTTACTGGTTCTTCTCAGGTTTTACAGAAGTTTTTTTCCGATGTAGTGGTAAAGTAAAAAATGACTTTCAATAAGAATTACATATTGTGATCTTAAATAAATAAATAAATATTCTATTCTGTTCAAATGTTCTTTAAGAAAACGTTAAATACTTAGGTTTTCTCCTGTATTATCCTTCCATGCTGTAGATGTGTGGTTTTCATACGAAGGGGTCAGCTTTGCCGAAGTAAGACCATGATCTCGCAGAATACCAGCGTAAAATAGCAGAATCATGCCACTGTGTATTGAGTGCACTGAACCGGAGACGATTTTTTCGGGTAAAACCTTAGTCCTAAGGAGTGACAGCGCATCTGCATTTTGACTATTAATCGAGGATAGATGTAAATGTCTATGGGCAACAGCCATCTTCAGTTCGTCACATATTCTCTAAAACAATGCAGAATCAGAACAATCATTTGCTCACACAAAACTTGCTCCGTGCGTGAGATTTGAACCACCAGCTACTTAATTCTAAGTTGATTCTGTCAAAATCATCACCTCTTTATATAAAAAACGTTAATTATTTGCTTTCAGAATTAAGTACAAACCAATACTACAACTACTTGGCTTGTGTATGTTTGTCCTTGTACAATGTATGAATGAAAATTGTCTCTTAAGAACATCCTGGTATATAAAGAGTAAAGATTTTTAAACGAAAAAAGAAAGGATTCATCATAAAAAAAGTTGAGCCGTGGTAGCTCAGCTGGTTAACGCTAACTATAAATATAACAGAACGCGAGCATCTCGGATTCGATCCCCACCAGCACCAATGAATTTGTTAATTGCAATTTTAAGTGCTGATTTACCAAGTGCTTGGTGGTGAAGGAAAATATCGTAAGGAAACCTACATGCCTGAGGAATAAGGAAAAATATTTTGAAGACATATGAAGTTCGCCAACGCGTTGGGGCAGCTCGGCGGAGACTTCCTTGCCCTAAAACCCTCCCAGAAATGAGAGGAGGCCTGTGCCCAGCCGTGGGACGTATATAGGCTGTTACTTTAGTTTACTTTTCTGTACATAAAAAATATTCTGACGAACAGAAACCTCCTCGTATTTCGGAAGGTGGTCAAAAAACCTTACTTATTATATATGCTTATTTGAACTTCAAACCGCCAAACCGTGGAAGGAGACTGAAATTTCGACTTTCAAATATTTCAACCAGTCACAACAATTTGTAAATGGAAAGTAAAATTAATCTTATCTTTTCAGTTTTAAGAAACATTACAATAAGAAGCATGGCAAACACGAGCATGAAATGAGGAAAGCGATCTTTAAGGAAAACTGGAGGTAAATTTTTTTACTGGCAATTTCCTTTCCAACATCTGGCTCAACGAGGACCGACCACCATTATCATCATCATTACAGCCCTTCTCAAGTTCAATGCTGACCATAAGCCCAAGGAAAGCCACATATTCCGGTTCTCAGCCACCATCCATCGACTTCCTGGATGTCTACCTGGGTAATCACTTCATCGAATGGGGGATGGAATCAAACCCTACACTTTGTCTACCGGTGCGCTGCCACTCGAGGATCTTTCTTCTAATAACCTTCAAATATTGTAATATTAATCTAGTAATATTAGAAAGATCATCATTTTTTTTGTATAGTTGAGTCGTAAGAGGCGACAGAGGGAAGTAAAACCACAAAACGGGAACATAATTCTGAAATAACTTAAATTAATATTATGAAAAACCGGCCAAGAGCGTGTCGGGCCACGCTCGGTGTACGGTTCCGTAGTTTCCCGTCCGTCACAATAAGTGTTCCCACTTATGAGTTTAAAGGTGGGTATCCATTATGTTCGCGCTCCAGCGGCGCTCCGCGCTCCTGCAACTGCTCCCGGTAGTGGGTACTGTTGTTTCCATCCAAGTTCAAAATGATTTTCCTAGAAAGTCCTTATAAAGTTCTACTTTTCAGATTTTTTTTCATATTTTCTAATCTTATGGTTCAAAAGTTAGAGGGGGGGACACATTGTTTTTTACTTTTGGAGCGATTATTTCCGAAATTATTGACATTATCAAAAATGATTTTAGTAAACCCCTATTCATTTTTAAATACCTTTCCAACAATATATCACAAGTTAGGGTTGAAATTAAAAGAAATCATTTCCCACTTTACGTATAGGGGGGCTACCCTAATAAAACATTTTTTTCCAATTTTTATTTTACCACTTTGTCGGCGTGATTGATACACATATTGGTACCAAATTTCAGCTTTCTAGTGCTAACGATCACAGAGATTAAGCGAGGACGGACAGACGGACAGACAGACATGGTGAAACTATAAGGGTTCCTAATTGACTACGGAACCCTAAAAAGACTGTGCTTGCCAACTCGCCTGAGAAGCGTAACAAATATTTTAAATTTCCTCTGCTATGAGATAATTTACGGAGAAGGCCGTTCATCTGTAGACCTTCAATAGGCTAAGAGCCTATTAAAGGAGAACGAATGTACCTTAGAAGCATAAAACGTTATTGCATTATAACATATAACATTCTTTTATAAGTGTCGACTTATGAATTATATGACTTGAAATTCTATCAAGCAATCCTGCATTTTTTTTTAAATACGAGTAAATAAGGTTTCCAGTTTTATTTGAAATTATCTCAAATTGAATGTGATTTATGGGCAACAACAGGAAAGATAAAAAAGACAGAATTTTTAATACTTTTTTATTATTTTTTCTTGACCATTCGCCTTATACTGAACCATCCTTGCAAATTTGGGCGTATATTGTAAAATAACCATATGTATAAATAATGCATAAATAAATAAATGATGCAATTATTAACATATATTATAAATAGATAAATGTATACTGTGACCAATGGACATTTACTTTTAATTAAGAATCATTCGCTATGCGCTATAATCCCTGAGGACCAAGACTGCCTTCTTACCAGTCTAAAGAATCTTCGGTTCTTATCACTTACAATGTGAAACACAACAGCGTTATTCTATTATTTTGCTTTGGTATTCTGACTCTACTGTACTATTAGTATTGTAAATATTTATGGGCTGGTACGGAAATGGTGAGGATGTTCTAGTTTAGCTGATCTCCAAGTCGATTTAAGCCAATGCAATGTTTCATCGTCTTATATATCGTCGAATTAGAATCAATATAGTCACCACCAGGACATCTAGTAACAGAGGGGCCTTAGTCACTGCCAGTATAAGTATTTATATCTGGTATCAGACATCAGTTCGAAGAGATAACGACTTACTCTTCCGCAACCGACTATTCATTATGACAGTTCATTTAAAATATAATGAGTGTGACAAACGAGCACACAAATATCTGGATAATATGTACTACAAGCTGTCAACCATATTTTAAACACTTAAAAATTCTGACATTGCCTTCGATGTATATCTACGAAATAAATCTATTTGTGAAATCAAATCCAAATTTTTACAAGACTGCTTTTAAAAGCTACTATAGACAGTTACGCGACAAAAAAGATTAGAAATAGAAATACTGTATGAAGATACAGCACTACTCAATAAAAGTATTCTTTGTATGGCATCACTGATTCACAACAAACTACCAGATGATGTCAGAAAGTTGCCTATCTCACGATTTAAGACGATATTACACAAATTTCTGATTAATAAATGTTATTATAAAGTCAAAGAGTACCTAGAGGACAAAAGTATTATAATTTAATAGCAATAGTTTTAATTTAATTGTAACTTAATAATAATAATTTGAATTTAATTATAACTGAATAATAGTAATTATACATTTACCTAATATATGTGAAACATTGTAACAATTTAATAAGATTAGTATATTAAATTATAATTTAACTTAAATTTTGTATGACAACATTTTTGGATTTGATTATTCGTATTATCAAAAATATTTAATTTCGAGTTTATATAATATCAAGGTATTTAGTATGACAACAATTAGCACTATAGACTCAACTACTGACAATATTTTTTTTCTTATTCTTAATTTTATTTCAAAGCACCATTATTGAATTAGTAATGCGTAGACTATATTGTAAAGTATTTGCACACCTCATAAGGTAATAATACAGTGTACATATTCTAATTTTTTTGTAACAACTCTTATACCTGTAATATGCAAATAAATGAATTTGATCTGATTTGATTTGATTTGAAAAAAAAACTATCTAATGGTAAGTAATGCTATGGCTCCTAAAGATTAATATGGAATGCCTCGTTACAAATAAAAAGGTCTCTCCACTTACGATACGAAATACAGCACCATAAAGCTGCTATTTTACGCTGGTTTTCTGTGATAGCATGAACGGTCCCCGGTTGAACCGAACCATTCATGTTACAACTATAATATGGCTGCAGCAACTACGTTTTAAAATTTATATGTAACTTACAAACTTAAATAAACCTTTTTTCAGGCGTATTGTTGACCACAATAAAAAGAATCTTGGATACAAGTTGGAGGTAAATGCGTTCGCTGATCGATCAGAAGAGGAGTTGGCTTACCTTACCGGAACCAGACCGTCTGGACCTCAAGCGATGGGTACCATACCCTTCCCTCATTCGGAAAAAGAGCTAAAGGCAATGGAAGAAGAAATTCCCCTAAACTACGACATGAGGCAGGATGGTGTGATCTCACCTGTTAAAAGTAAGTTGACATCTAATCGTAAACGCGACAACGCGCAACGCAGACAAATACAACAAGTAATGATTTCTTAAATTTACGCGAACACTACACATTGAATAAAACTAAATTTACGGATTTTATCGCGTTTATTTCACTACTTTTACTTATTTTTAATTCCCGACGTTTCGGGTGCTTTACAGCAACCATGGTCACGGGGGAGGACTGAGATGTTTGACGTCCCAATGTCATAGTTAGTCCGGCTACCTTCAGTTTTTGAATATTAATTTTTGGTCCGATTTACGCAAAACGAGCTTATAGTATCATGAAGTCTTGCAGTGGTATGCTTAGGTTTGGGTTTAATTTTGTTAATTATAGGATCCCAAGCAGGTGGCAGCACCCATCCATCTTCTCTATTGAAATTTGGATGTTTTTTTTTTAATTTCAATAGCCTCGCGTATCATCCTTGGTAGGAATCGGTGTTCTTTTGCGAGGATTTGTGGTTTATCAAATCGAATGTAATGGTTGGGACGATCTTGAACATGTTCGCAGGCTGCAGACTTCCCGGAGCGTCGGTGCTTCACGTCAGCTATATGTTCTTTCACGCGGGTTTTTATGTCACGGGTTTACGTCAAACATCTCAGTCCCCCCGTGACCATGGTTGCTGTAAAGCACCCGAAACGTCGGGAATTAAAAATAAGTAAAAGTAGTGAAATAAACGCGATAAAATCCGTAAATTTAGTTTTATTCAAATACAACAAGTATTATACTCTAGAGAGTTAGGAGTCAGCCTCAGAGTCACCAATTATATTGACTCTGGTTTTATTTTCTCCTTAATACCTTTAATAGGTATCTTTTCTTTTTGGGCCCGGGTATTGAAGTTTACTCGTTGATAATGGATTTTCATACATCCTGCGGTACAAAATTAAATGGGAGCAAAAAACAAACTCGAGTGAAATCTCTTTTTACATGAGAAGGAGCAAACGAGCCGTATGGCTCACCTGGTGGTAAATAACTACCGCAGCCTATAAACTACTGCAACACCAAGGGAATCGCAGACGCGTTACCGGTCTTATGAAAAAGAGTAGGCTTTCTTGAAGGTTCCTAAGTCGCATCGGTTCGGAAAAATCGCTGGTGGTAGTCAATTCTACAAGGAAGTTGAGCGAGGAAGAAAACTTCGTGTAAATTGCACAGTGGTGGAACGCAAAGCATCCAGATGGTAGGAATGGTATCTCCAGTTTTATCAAAATGTGCGTTGGTAAAATTTGAGCGGCTGGAATTAGTCCGAACAATTCCTCTGAGCACTCCCCGTGGTACATACAATAGAATACGCAAAGCGATGCAACATCTCTTCACAGCGCTCGTGAGTCAAGCCGATCCTAAAGATCTCAGTCGCTGACGATTCAAACCGCTCTCTGCTGGAAGGATAAATGGAAGGAACTGGCACTGGGGAGCCCCAGCCCAGACGGGAACAGTATTCCATGTGAGGCCAAACCTGCTCGCTTTATAAAGTTGCAGGTGGTATACGGGCATGAAATACTGTCTACAAGTTTGTTCCGGTACTAGGCGACAATTTACCGAGAAATATTGGCACGACTGCTGGTATATAAAGCGTCACCAGTGCAGTTTTCTGCATAGCAATGACTGTTATCGGTTTGCAATATATCATTGATATGCAGAAGAAACAGCGTTAGAGATAGTACGCAGCCTTGTGGAATACTAGCGTTAATAGGCTTATAGTCGGAGCGTGCACCATCTACTGCGACCTTAATGCTCCCATCAGCCAGAAAACTGGTGATCCAATTGCACAATTTCTCCGGAAGCCCATAAGAAGGAAGCTTCGAAGAAAGCGCTTTGTGTCAAACCCGATTGAAGGCCTTCGCTATGTCCAAACTAACCGCTAAAGCCTTGCTCTTAGACTCAACCGCCAGCTCCCATCGGTGTGTTAGGTAATCAAGAAGATCACCAGCTTAACGACCCCGATGGAAACCGTACTGGCGGTCACTAATCAGCTGGTGCTCCTCAAGATACCACATGAGCTGACAGTTAGTATAAATGAAAGGAAGGAAGGAAGTTTTTGTTAAGCTTAATAAACAGAACAAATCGGTTGTAATATATGGAGACCATTATTAAATTTAGATCATTTTTTATATCATATTTAATTTATTTTTGAATCCAACGCGTATTACTGAATCTAGTGCAACATGTACAGATAATATTTTTACAAATTTCAAGTCGCTCCATAAGTGTTTATTCAAAATTGAGTTCAGATCCCTGGTGACAATTAGTTTCGTTACCATATGTTTACAAAATGCAAGTAGATGAAAAAGTTGTTTTTGTTCCAGTAAATACACGTCGTTTGGAGAAGTTTAGAAGTAAAATAGAGAAAAACTTTCATCGCTTTTATAACAAAATAATACAGATTTTTTGTATGAAACATTATTTTAGCTTATTCGCAATGAATTTAATAATACTATTACTTCTAAAACATTCTCCTTGAACAATTGCAAAGCATTCAAACAATGTGCGACAGTAGGAGTCCGTAAAAGCAGACAAAGGAAAGGTCAAATAATACTGGGGTCAAATTTAGGAAATATGTAAAAAAATATCCAAAAATATTTACTACATAAGATCAGGACGTTGCAATGGTTTTAATAAAATATTTTACTGATATTCCGATCTTAACCACTAAGTCATTGAATTCTTCTCCTACTGATCACTAAAACAAAATATAAATGTGTGCACAAACAATTTTAAATTTCATAAAGTATCAGCAAAAGATATTGTAAAATATTTTAAAACTAATGATTTTAAGAAAACCGCAGATCTGGAGGGGATTTCCTTTAAAGTTATTGCGTCTATAATAGATACAATCGCACCTCAACTATCTACTATTTTAATACTAGTATCGAATCTGGTGTGTTTGCTGATTTAATGAAGCATAGTAAAATAATACCTTTATTTGAATCTGGTAGTATATTGGACCCCGCTAACTTTAGACCTATTCTGTACTGCTAACGCCTAATTATTTCTTAAATAAACGCAATAAAATCCTTAAATTTAGTTTTATTCAATGCTAACACCTGTTAAATTTTTGAAAAAATTATTCTTGATCAAATAAAAAAAATTTTGATGTAAAAATGTATATTATACATAAAAATCAATTCGGTTTCACAAGGGGTCGCGTAAAAACTGATGCTGGTGTTGACCTGATGAAATTTATCTCCAATGAATGGGAGAATTTACAAGGTGCTTTATGTTTTGTGACCTATCGAAGGTTTACGATTTTGTTGACCATAACACATTTATCAGGAATTATACATACGTGGTAGAGTCATACTGCAGCTATATTAGTAGTATAGTTGTAGCACGAATGAGTCGGCTCAACCGGGGAAAAACCACGCTCTCACAGAATGCCAGCGTCAAATAGCTGCTTAACACTGCTGTGTATCGTATGGTGAGCGTTTTGGTACCCTTTTTACTGAAAGTAGGCATTCCATCTTAGTCCTCACAGTTGGCAACGCATCTGCATTTTGATTCGTAATCGAGGATAGATGATGTCTATGGGCCACAGCAACCACTTACCATCAGGTGCACTGTGTTTGTCACCCTTCTCCTATAAAAACATACAAAGGGTTTTAATTATACTAGTGCATTATATAAAGTTATATAAAGTATTATCGCAAACTTTAATTTCATGTTTTCATACAATACGTAGATCAAGGTGAATGCGGCTCATGCTGGGCTTTCTCTACCACCGCTGCAGTAGAAGGAGCCCTCGCCAGAAGCAACGGCGGCCGGAACATCGATCTTAGCGAGCAGTCCCTGGTAGACTGTGCTTGGGAGTATGTTGTTTTTTAAATAATTAGCCATTACAGTTACCGTCTACATAGGCTTCTCCCATAGATTGCCTCATAGGTGAATATTTGCCATATATGCCACGCTTGCCATGCCAGTGGGCAATCGCAGTTTTTTATTTTTAGTCATTGTGTTAAGAATAACTAAGCGCCTTCGACTATTCAAAATCCAACCTAACATGAAGTGGATACAAAGTTCTAGATGGTAGACGTTAGCTAAGAAAAAACTCTTGTTTTCAAAAACAGGGTACTGATTTGCTCCTATTTTTAATTTGCTTCACAAAGCAATAAGTTTAATTCCTCACTGTTAACCCAGAAATGGAAAATCTCCCGGTTTAGAATACATTTCACTCCAATTATTACAGCTTATTAAAACCCACTAAAATGCCTCATAAAGAGAAACATATCGCTGATGTGAGGCACCGACGCTCCGGAAAGTATGTCAATATGTTTAGGATTATCCCAATCATTATATCAGATTTTATAAACCACAAATCCTCGCAAAAGAACGCCGATTCCTACCAAGGATGATTCGCGAGGCTATTGAAATTAAAAATATGCTATATTTGCAACAAGCGGGTTGACAAACGTATACGAGTATATCAGCGTAATAAAATTCGAAGTGAACATAACTGCAGTAGAACCAGAGTAACCGGCACAGCTGAAGTGGCAATGGGCGAATCATACACCTCGAAAAACGGATAACTGATGGGAAAGAAAGGTCCTCGTCTGGCAGCCTCGTGCCGGTAAGCGAAGCCTAAGGCATCATCTAAGTGAAATGATGACCTGCCAAGAGATGCAGGAAGTCTATAGATGCAGTTAGATGCAGTACTGGACCGTGCTTTGTGGCAACCCTTGGGGGAGTTCTGTGTTCAGCAGTGAACTTGTAAATATGTGTAATGACGGAGTCTGGTTATTTACATCGTAGAGGTAGATACATTTAAATTATAAAAAATGATATTTTGTTCTTCGGCCTCGTACCATTAACTACTAAACATTGACCACTTTCATTGTGAAAAGTATTTTAGATAGTCGCCATTTTTGCAATATTGTTGATCATATTTTTTTTTTCATAGAATAAGGGTTACAAACGTGCACACAGTCCGCTTGATAGTAAGTGGATGCATATACTTCTGCATTTATCCTCGATTAATAATCAAGGGCGAGAGAGGTGTGTCAGGATCGTGCCAAATCTACCTAACCCTCTGGGTGACAGGCGTGAGTGTTTATGTATGTAATAATCAAATTGCAGATTCGTTGTCACCCTGAGGACTAAGATGTAATGCCCCATATCCAGGAGTAGGCATTAGCTGCTATTTTACGCTGGTGTATTGTGAACATATGATGCTTCCCCGGCCGAGCCGACCCATTCGTGACACAACCATAATAAAGCTGCACCATGGCTCTACCGCTAAGTCTATTGGCCACAACATCCACTTAGCATCAGGTGGACCGTTTACTCGTTTGTCACCCTTATCTTCCAAAAAAATAATGACGATATTTTGAATTTAGGAACTAATATATGGGTCTATTTAATTTTTATTATTTTTGCAGTCATAATATGGGATGCGATGGTGGCATTTTGGACGAAGCGTTCAAATACATCACCATAAATGGCATTCCTTCTCAGAGGGAATATGGACCGTATTTGCAACAGGTTTGAAAAGTTTAATATGTATGTTCTTAATTAACATTTGTTGACAGAATTCTAAGTAAAACTCAAATAATTATAAACACAATAATTATGTTCACACCGCGAGAAGATCAAACATTCTCTAGTATATAATCACTGCCTTTTAACGTTGCCTATTAGACTGCACTGAGAAGTTTTTTTTATTATATGCGAGCAGCTATGCAGGTCTAGGTAAAGAGACCAGTATCACTGCGACCTAAAAGATCTATTGTGATCGCTGTATGGCTATAGTTCAAGGTTGAACCCTATGTCTTCAATGAATCGAAGGAGTTGCTTAGCCGTGAGCAATTTCACTTCTTCTGGGCGGAGCACATAGTTGCCCAGATGAGTGTTACCATTAAGGGTCCGCAATCGTTAAGGAATGTGCAGAGGCGTTTCTTCCGTTATGGAGCAGAACCGACACATCCTTGATTTGCTAGTCCCAGGATGGGCGTGTGCTTTTTAGGACAACAGTGTCCAGTTAGGGCTCTTGCCCAGTGCTTCTGAAGCGAATTTACGATCAAAATTATAAGGATTAAGGTTTCAGAATGTTTTAAGCCTGGTGTGTCAGACCAGATCTTAAGTGATTTATTGTGATAAAGAGTTTCAAAGGTCAATCGGGCTAGGCTTCTTGAGATTCCACAAAATGGCTCAGGTCCAATTTGTGTGCACTTTGAGCCCTCCCGTGCAAGTTTGTCGGCAAATTCGTTGCCTACAATACCCTCGTGACCCGGAGCCCATCTTAAAACGACCCTGTTGTTACATCCCAGGGCGTTTAAACGATTCACGCAGTCTCCAACTATCTTTGAGTTCACTAAGTTTGATCTCAGCGCTAGCAGTGCTGTTCGACCATCAGAGTTTATGTAAATTTTATGGTTGACGTAGTGTTTTTGCAGATTGATTTCCGCACACCGAAGTATGGCGAAAATTTCTGCCTGGAAGATAGAGGTGTATCTACCCAAATTCATACTAAGTTTGAATTTGGGGCGTTCCCCGTAAATTCCAAAGCCTACGTCGAGGCCCATTTTAGACCCATCGGTATACCATATGAGGCTACCGACCTCACAGATAACCTGGCCATTCAGCCAGTCTTCTCTGGAGAGTAATTCCTCTATATACTTTTAATCAAAAGTGTGTAGTGGACGCATGATATCTGAGATCATGCATAAGACCGGTGATTCCTTAATTGAGTCGAGCATGGATCTCAATCTGTAGGAGAGCAAGCTCAGACCGCCCTGCGTTAATCCTATACAAACTAGCCCTCGCCTCCTTGTCTAGATAGAGATCAAGGGGCATTAGGCATAGAAGTGCATTAAGAGCCGCTCCAGGCGATGATCGCATAGATCCAGTTGCCATTAAGCAGGCAGTCCTTTGTAGACTATTTAGTCTGTCCGCAGTCGTCTTTTGGTTGGCCTTGTTACACCAGACAATAGAGGCGTAGGTGAGAATCGGCCTCACTATGCTACTGTACAGCCATATGACCATTCTGAGACGCAAGCCCCAGTTGTTCCCGACCAAACGACTGCACGTACCTAAAGCAATTTTTGCCTTATGGCATACGTTGCTAAGGTGAGAGTTCCACGTTAGTTTTTTGGTCGATTGTTACGCCCAAGTACTTAACTTCCGTGGAAAATGGTACTTCTTTGCCATTAAGTTTTGGTTGGACTAATTTGTCCAACCGTCTCTTTTTGGTAAAGGGTATTATAACAGTTTTATCAGCATTAACTGATAAACTGTTATCCCTACACCAGTTATTTATGGTGTTTAGGGCTCTTTGTATTATTGACGATAAAGTACTTTGGCAAAAGCCCCTCGTCATGATCACAAGGTTATCAGCATAACCCAATGTGTCAATGCGTAGGTCTGCCATTTTGTACAATAGTTGGTCAACCGCAAGAGTCCAAAGAAGAGGTGACAAAATACCTCTTTGTGGGCAGCCTCTTGCGGTACAACCTCAATCGAAGTTTGAAACAGCGCTATTTTTGCCTTTCTGTTTGAGAGCATCAACTTCACCCATCTGATGGTTGTGGGGTTAACATTTTTAGATCTTAGGCCCCCAATCAGCAGTGATGTGGGGCTACTGTCGAAGGCGCTCTCAATATCTAGAAAGGCACAAAAAGCTATTTCTTTATCCTCCAGTGCTTTTTGGACCCTGTCAATGACACTGATCAAGGCTGTTTCCGTAGATTTGCCTCTGCGGTAAGCATGCTGGTTGTAATATATGGGCGTGGTAGCTAGAGCTACATCCCTTATATATCTATCACCTATAACCTTTTCCAATGTCTTAAGAAGAAAGGAAGATAGGCTTATAGGTCTAAAGGACTTTGGTAAAGCGTAGTCCTTTCTACCAGCCTTAGGTATAAATAGAACCTTGATAATTGTCCATCGTTCTGGAATATATCCCCATGCAAAACTTGCTCTGAAGATTTTCACCAGGTAAGGAAGAAGGATGTCGATACCCCTCCGTAGTTGTATGGGAATTATTCCATCCTCCCCGCTTGATTTAAATGGTTCAAAGGAGTCAACAGCCCACTACACCAGGTTTGGCCTTATTATCTTTGCAGCCCTACACCACTCTTCATTGCAAGCCTTCGTAGGGCTCTGAAAGAGTTCAAGGCTGAAGTCTTGTGTGACCCTGGGAAATGGGTTGACGCTGGTAACTCCAATGTTTCTGTTTCACTATTAGTGAAGTTACCATCCGGCTTTTAAGAAGCCCGATCTGATTAGGTTTAGCTTTCGATAGCATCTTGTGTAGTTTTGCACTGCGAGGCAAAGACTCAACTTCCTCACATAGCTTCCTCCACGATGCTCTCTTGGCTTTCCTGGTTTCTTTATTATATTCAGTTAGGGCTGCACTATAAATATCCCACTCTTTGGTTTTCTTAGCCCTATTAAATAGTTTTCTGGTCTTTTCCCTTCAGCTTAGAATTCCACCAAGAAACTTTTCGTGTTGAGGTCTTGGTTTTGACGGGACAACTGTCCTCGAAGGCTTCACGGATACCTACGGTTACTGTCTCCGTCGTCTCCAGACCTTCAATTGTTTTGATGCTTTTAGGAAACGTTTCCAAATTCCTCCTTAGGCTATCTCTGTAGATATCCCAGGAGGTCGCTTTCGGATCCCTAAAAGTAACGGTTAAAAAGGTTGGTGATGCTCCAATCACAAACTTAATGTGCTTGTGATCAGACATCGAGTTTTCGCTACCAACATGCCAGTCATTTATCCGCCTGGACATGTTATTGGTAGCAAAGGTTATGTCTAACACTTCTTGCCTAGCACGCGTTACAAAGGTTGGTGTACAACCTAAGTTTAAGCTTACCAGGCGGTTGGAGATTAGAAAATCATAAAGTAACTCAGCTCTTTCGTTGATGTTGGTGCTTTCCCAGGCTGTGTGGTGAGCATTAGCATCACAACCCACCACAAGTTCGGCGTTGTGTTTTCGGGCGAACTCCGCCACTCGCTCTAACTCGATGGTAGGATCTGCGTTCTCGCCGGGAAGATAGGCTGAGCAAATGATTGCTCTGGCCCCTGTGCATCTCTTGAGATTTATGAAGGCTGTAACCAGGTCATCATTGCAGTAATCTGGAACAGCTAAAAGTTCAATATTTTTATTATAAATTATACAAGCTCTGGGTCTACTGCCTTTGGTATTGACAAGAATCTTACCGGCAGCCGCCAATCCCAGAACTTGACCGTTGGCCACCCAAGGCTCTTATAGGCTCTATAAGGGCGAGGTCAATGTTGTCCTCTGCAAAGCAAACCTCCACCACGGCCGAAGCAGCTGCTGCATGGTGTAGATTTGCATGGAGGACCCTCATCTTATCTTTGGGGTTAGCCATTTATGGGCTTGGAAGGGGGGGCAGGGGGCTTTTTCACCTGTTGAGGACGAAGACGTCCTTTACCGGCACTCTTGACCCCCGCTTTACCTTACGCTATCCCGCTCCCACTTCCCCTCCCCCCACGCCTGGAGGGCACGACACCAGCGGAGGCCGTCAGACGGAGACGAGTTCAGCGCCTTGGGTCTTCATCACTCTCACTGATGGCGTTTTCCAGTCTCACCCCGAGAGGTGGAGGGCTGGGGGGATTGGAGTTCAGGCTTCATTGCCGCATCAGAGCCTCCCTTGACTTTAAAAGTTATCATCTTAAAGCCAAGGATGACTCTGCCACCTGCCTTCCGAAGAGCCTTCGCCGATGAGTCGTCCAGAGAAAAGGTTACTAAGAACCCATTCTCCTCATCCCTACGATGGAGGATTCTCCAGAGCTCAGTATGGAGCCCTTCATTTTGTGCCCTCAACAGTACAGCCACCTTCTCTGGAGAGGAACTGGGGGAGGCTTGGGCAGAGGAATTCGTCCCAAGGCAGAGAGAGAGGGCCTTTTCGGCTCCAATCTCAGCTGCTATCAGCCTTCTTTACCTTTTCCTCGCTGCCCTACTAAGCTTATAAGGCCTAGCGAACTTTTTATTTTCCCCTCCCTGGTTCGTTTCCGATTGTGGTTCGGCTGCAAACGTGCCCTCCACTTCACGGCTCGTCCCCGGTTGGGGCGCGTCTGTTGCAGGGTGTTGATGAGGCTAAAAGAGCCTTTTCCAAACCTACAACTAATTCCATTAAAGGAGACTTCTCATTGTCTTTTACAAAATATCGGTTTTCAACCATTTTGTTCCCATGATTAGCTAGGGAAATACTTGGTCACCCCTGGCAGTCCCCCCATGCCGAGGGAAGGGCTAAAATACTACCCGAATCGCCCTGGTCTCGGGTAGGCACCGTTTGCGACTAGACTCCCTCCAGCCACGCATCTATCGGCACGGTACGCCGTTGACAGCTTGGATTGGGTTAGGATAGGAAAAGGGGGAGGGATAAAAGAAAAGAAAAAGAGGATCGTCCGAGTGTTTCTGTTCTGTCTGTTTCCTATTGAACCAGACCAAATAACAGGTGGCAACCACGTGAAGGAGAACTCCTCAGACTTGCCCTGGGGATCAACACGACCTGCGCTCTCCCCCAGAGCCATACGCCAAACTGCTCGCCGGATAAGAGAGCAGAATAGGTGTTAATCTAGTCCTATCTATAATATCAAAAAGTTAGGAGTAGACTAACCTCCGCCCCTCTGAGAAGTTATTCGGATCACATCGCGACAAAACTCGCGTTACCATCCGTACCATCAGGATGCTCGGCAGTCTTTCACTGTGCGTTTTACTAAGAGTTTTCTTCTTTGCACAACCTCTTTGTGGAATTGTTTACCACTGACGATTTTTCCGAACCAATACGACCAAGGGACTCTCAAGAAAAGAGCTTACAGCTTACTTCTTTCTAAAAGGACGGAAATGCACTTGCACTTGCCCTGGTGTTGCGGTTGTTCAGGGGCGGCGGTAGTCACTTACCATCAGGTGAGCCGCATACTCGTTTGCCCACTTTTTGCCACTGTTCTCTAAAAAACACTTACAACACAGACACTTAGACGCAAATACGCAAACTCACAACAACAAATGAAATTCCTGCACCTTTCTCCGTTAGGCAGCGTTCAGAAAATCGTCCAGTAATCGAAATCTGAAAACAAAATTGCAGCCAGTGCTAGTAGTGCCAGCCACGATCTATGAAATTGGTACATACGAGTCCTTCACTCTCGGTTGTTAAAGATATTTTTATCTAAATAACTAAGCATCCATTATTCTCGAGTAGCCATAAATATAGATTAAGATGAAAAGTTGTGGAAGAAGTAATGGATAGCCTATCGCCTGTACAATCACACCACGCAATATCCCATTAGTAACCTTTTACGATATGCTAGGAAAGTAACACTTTTTTTATAGATTAGGGTTGACAAACGAGCACACAGTTCAGTTGGTGGTAAGTGGATGCTGTGGCCCATAGACCTCTACATTTATCCTCGATTAAGAAATTAAATGTAAATGCGTTGTCACTCCTGATGACTGGACCCAAGGACGAGTAGGAATGCTCCGTATCCAGTAAAATGGGTTTCTGGTTCTCTACACTCACCATATGAAACAAAACACCATTAAGCTGCTAGTTTACGCTGGTATTCTGTGAGAGCGTGATCCTTCCCCGGACGGGTCAACCCATTCGTGCTAAAGCAGCCCGAAGTCGGGAATGATGCTGCTATTTCTTGCTGGTGTTCTATGAGAGCGTGGTCCTATCCCGATAGAGCCGACCCATTAGTGCTACAACCATAATATCGCTGCAGCGTGGCTCTACTGTATATTTGTCTCTATTTCGGGACGAAAAACATATAAGGGTACGTACTCAAGTGGATACCTATTAAGAATCTTGTTCTTATCCCCCTAATGCTCAATCACATTTGAGTATTTGTCCATAAATATAGCTTTGTTATATTACAACTTGAAGTGGATATTCTGAGCTATGTTTTCCCATTCGAAATACATGCATTTGAACTACGAGATTAAGTTTGACCGCTTTCAACACTGACTGTTAAGAGACGGTGTAAGTATATCCACTATCCCATATCATCCCGTGGGTGTTGTAAGAGGCGACAGAGGGATACAAATCAATAGGTGCGAACAGCGTATTCTTAATAACGACTGAAAATAAAAAAGCTGCGATTGCCAATCTACGGGGGAAGCCTATATTCAGCTGTGGATTTTAATAGATTGTAACAGTAACGGTAACGCTAACGGTAACGGTGATGGCTTTTAACATTAAATCTGTCGTCACGATAACCGATCTGTAAATATACATTAAGGCCCGTTTTCACTTGACGGATATCAATTTCCACACCTACGGGATAATATGGTATAGTGATTTCTTTTAACCGCCGTCACCTCATTCTGAGTGGTAGAAATTAATGGTTGTATAAACTACATTTAAAAATTTATAAAAGCGAATTCATACATAAAATCCCTACATTTACACCATGAAATATAACAATATTAATAAAAAATTTGTTGACACATCACAGTATAGTTTTTCTATACTTTGATCTGTCAACTTTTACTATACTCGTACTAACTAACCACGTTTTTTACGTGGTAGAACCATGCTGCAGTTATATTAGTAGTATAGTTGTAGCACGGATGAGTCGGCTCAACCAGAGATGGACCACGCTCTCACAGAACACCAGCGCCAAATAGTAGCTTAATGCCGCTGTATTTCATAATATGGTGAATGTAGAGAACCGGAGACCCTTTTTACTGGAAACGAGGCATTTCATCTTAGTCCTCACGGGTGACAAAGCATCTGCATTTTGATTCGTAATCGAGGATAGATGTAGATGTCTATTGGCCACAGCAACCACTTACCATCAGGTGGACTGTGTGCTCGTTTGTCGCCCTATCCTATACTCCCCGTAGTATTGTGACAAGAACGCTGGCTGTGTTTCTTCACTGAATAGCTATACTTAGCCTCGGGCGAAAAAAAAGAACCAACGGCGGTGATCAGTCACAAATACAGTTCCTTTAGGCATTTCGCCGCACCTGGACCCCACGAATCGATAGTTTCTCTACCTAATGACATAAATATGTAGTGAATAGTGATTTCTCAGAAACTCATATTTGCACCACTTACTTAATTCAGCTGCCTCTGATACTGCTCCAGCACTAAACGAGGTACCCCTGAGATAAGAGGATGTCAGTGTCTAGACAAGTAGCATCCCACAATAGGACTTTATCTCTCTCCCAAGGGGTCAAATTCATAGCGGGTCTCTTGCCAATTCACACCCTTGTACGATCAAAATAATTTATTAATATTTTCTTTTCTTTAAGGATGGTTACTGCAAGTTGGAGAATATGACACAGGTGTACAGTATCAAAGGCTTCGCTAAAGTGCCTTCGCTGAGCGAGAGTGCTCTCAAAGTAGCGCTCTTAAAGTACGGCCCAGTCACTGTCGGCATATACGCTGGGAGGAACATGAAATTTTACTCTAGTGGCATATTCTATGATATAGACTGGTATGTATGCATTATCGTAATTATTAATTTATGAAAAATCATGCAAATTTTGTTTATATCAAGCCAGTATAATCATGGTCTTAAGCGTTCCATTACAGTCCTAACCATTCTTTGTATTAGTCTACATACATTAGAAGATTCACCTCAAAATGAGATATAATAAGTCGTAAATTTATTTATTTTTTTTTTTGGTTTTTCGTGTCCGCGTCTTAAGATATTCAATGTCATAGGTCACAAAAATCGTTTTACGCTTCTTAAAGCGGTTCTACACGGTCGGCACCAACCACCAATCGTCGTGACCTTGGTCGGGTCAACCGATTTTTGTATTCGTTATACACGGTCGGGTGGTTGACTCAACTTGTCAGTTTCTCTGGTATTTAAAGAGTAAAGACGTAAGGTATACAACAAAAAAATCGGTTTAGCTTTAACGTTTTTATGCTTGGATGTAGATGAAAATAAAAATGAAATAAAATGGATAAAATTGTGGCTGAAAGAGCGCATTACTTTAAACAAACATGACATGGTACTTTAAGACATGGTAAATCACAGTACAGTGACAAGAATTCGGTCAGGACCTCACGTTCTTTGCTTCCGTTCGTATCCATAGCGCCGTTAAACATCCGCCTGCGACGACTGCTAAGCGCGCACTGAGGCGCTCTCGTCGGCCGACAGCGTTCCACACGGTCGGCGTCAACCACGGACCCAACGTGTCGTGAGGGATGCGCTCGCGACCAAGGCCGTCGGACTCAACCAAAATATTGGTCAGACAACCGATATCTACACTGTCCATTTTTGCATCAACTCGACCAAGGTCACGACGGTTGGTGGTTTGTCCCGACCGTGTAGAAGGCCTATTATGGTTTAAACGCTATTGGCATTCATTAAAAAATATATAGCATAAAACTATCTACAAAATAAGAGTGGTAAATAAGCATACAGTCCACCTGATGTTGATGAAGTTTCTTTATTTGCCATAAATAGGGAAGTGTTATGTTTTTATAATAAACGAAAAGAGTTATGGCCTATAGATACTCGTATCTATAATCTTTGATTAAGTATCGAAATGCGGATGCATTGTCACCCTTGAGGACGGAATGCCTCGTTCGGAGGACGATGGAATGCCTCGTTCCCAGTAAAAAGGGTCTCTGGTTCCCTATACTCGCCATATGAAAACAGCAGCATTGAGCTGTTATTTTACGCTGGTATTCTATAGGAGTAAATTCTTCACTGGTCAAGCCGACTCATTCGTGTTACAATCATAATATATCTGCAGCATGGTTCTACCCACTCTTTCTAAACCAACACCTGGTTGTTGTTGGCCTGACCCGGTAATAGAACCTAGTTACACGTGGTAGATCCATGCTGCAGTTATATTAGATGTATAGTTGTAGCACGAATGGGTCGGCTCGACCGGGGAGGGACCACGCTCTCACAGAATACCAGCGTGAAATAGTAGCTTAATGCTGCTGTATTTCGTATGGCGAGTGTAGAGAACCGGCGACCCATTTTACCGGAAACGAGGCATTCCTTCTTAGTCCTCACGGGTGACAACACATCTGCATTTTGATTCGTAATCGAGGATAGATGTGGATGTCTATGGGCCACAGCAGCCACTTACCATCAGGTGGACTGTGTGCTCGATTATCACCCTATCCTATAAAAAAAAATAGGACCTCATGATCAGCAGTCACGCTTACTTACCTTACTTACCATTAGAACAACAGCTCCGTGGCGTAATGGCTTAGCAATGAATTGCAGCGCTGAGGGCCGCGGACTCGAATCCCGTACATAACAAGTACTTGTATAGCCTACAAATAATTTTTGCCAGACTGGATGTTTGTCATTGTAAAATTTATGTACGTAAACTTCCCCCTACAACACAGAAGAAAATTCTAGTTCAATAATAAATTTTAAAACAAAATAAAAATAAAGAAAGCAAATCAAAGACCGCCAAAGTATCTAGCTTAAAATATGTTTTTAATTACAGTTCAAAAAAAATGCTCAACCATGGTGTCACGGTGGTTGGATACGGAGTGCGTGATGGTACTAACTACTGGATTATTAAGAACTCCTGGGGTGAAGACTGGGGTGAAGATGGCTACATCCTCGTGTCCACAGTCAACGACAACTGTAACGTTATGTCCGAAGCGTACTATCCGATTGTTTGAAAGACGATGATTTAAATTTACTTTGTATAGCCTTGTATAAATAAACTCCACGGTGCAATTTGAAATTTGTTTTATAGTTTTATTTTTAACGCTGCATCTATATTTCACGTGGTAGAACCACGCAGCAGATCTATTACGGCTGCAGAATGGGTCAATTCTACCGGGGATGGACCACGCTCTCACAGAATACCAGCAAGAAACAGAAGCTTAATGTTGCTGTGCGAGTGTTGACTACCGAAAACCTTTTTACTGGATATCAGACATCCTTTCTTAGCCATCAGCATGATAGTGCATCTATATTCTGATTCTCAATCGAAGATAAATGTAATTGTATATGGGCTACAGCGTCTTCTTTCCATTAGGTGCACTGAGTGCTCGTCTATCACCATCTACTTACCATCAGGTGATCTGTGTGCTCATTAAATCTAATTCTATAAGAAAAACTATCATCAGTATAATCATCCTTAGTTAATATTTGAAAAACAAAACACTATTTACCCCAACAATACAGTTTTCTCCTATATAGTCGAGGCGTTTTAAACATCATTCGTTATTCAATTGGCAAGCATAAATCTACAAAGAAAAGCCCGAAACAATTATTTATTACAACCAAATACAGTTTACTACATCAATTTTTTAGTTTTATTTAATGTTGCCTGTTTTGAAAAAAACTTACCCCTTCTGACTTTGCTATTTGTTTGTTCGTAAAGTTTCGTCCCAACCGATTCAGCCATTCCGAAGATTTTTTATAGCGTTGTGTGAGAAACGAGCGCACAGTCCACTAGGTGATAAGTGGATGCTGTGGCTCATAGACACCTACACTTATCTTCAACTAAGGATCAGAATACAAATGCGTTGTCAACCCTGAGGACTAATATGGGATGCCTCGATTCCAGTAAAAAAAGGTCACCGGTTCTCTACACTCAGCACATTAGACAGACAAAGAGAAATAATAAAAAAGTTTGCTTATGTCTTAATAGCAAGCAAATAAATATAATAATAATATTACAGACAGACAATTAAATTTTATGTATATTTACAGATATGTATATACAATTCTATTTTACTTCTTTGACCCAAAAATCATAAGTTTGGTTGTATTTTGCCTTGAGATGAGTTTATTCATACGCCCATTCAACGATCTGGCTTAAATCTCAGTCCCAATCCAATAAAGTTCTTTAACTGACTCATTTTTATTACCTGGCGAAGATAATATTTGTACATTTGAAGGTCATGGGGCATATTAATAATAGAATATTTACAATCGGTTAATTTACATTAAACAAATTTTAATTTAATATACATTACATTAAAATTTGTTTACAATCGACTTCAATATTAATAAAATGAGATCATCATCAATGTAGTCGAAGTCAGTTAAATACGCGTTATTAAGGATAACTCAAAAAAGATAGGTCAGATCTTGATTGAATTTATGTGGAATGACGTGAGAGGTAATTTAGCTTTTCAATAAAAAAAGAATCATCAAAATCGGTTCCCTAGAAAAGAGTTCTGAGGTAACACACATAAAAAATACAGTCGAATTAAAAACCTCCTCCTTTCTGAAGTCGAATGAAAAAGGACCTGTGATATCGGCACTATAGAGGATAAGCAGTAAAGGACCTAAAATGCTCCCTTGTTGAACGCCACTAGTAACAGGAGACGCAGCCTGACTTGCTGAGTCTATTAGCTATTCCATTTATTACAACCTATAAAGGCTCGCGCACATTGGGGCGGGCAGCTTCGCACCGCATCTCATAACAAAACTCCTAAGTACATTCGCACATTTTATATGAACTATCACTACACTCACACTATAGGCGTCCCGCACCAGGCAGCATTACAACCACAGATATCTGTGATTACAACGCACTGGCGGATCGCTTGCTAGATGTATATTTGCGGCGATGTTATGCGTTGCAATGCGGCCTCTATTAGTGTGCGTTAAAAAGGCGCAGTAAACGAACGTGTCACGCTCGCCCGACTTGCATATTGATTTTCATTTGATTTGCGTTTATTTATGCTTAATTAGTTTACTCTTTTTTTCGCTTAACTATTCACGTACACCCATGGTACACCCTGTTTACATACACGCATGGTGTTAATGTTTTAGGTTACTTATAAAGAAGCTTGTACGGAATGGATGAAGAATTGTTAATTTCTTTAGTAGAACAGTACAAAGAATTGTACGACCTACAACACTCTATGATAATGTCCAAGAAAGGAATAACATTTGGGATGAAATAGGAAGACTTATAAAACATCCATCCATCCATCGCTTTGGACTGCCAAGGGCTGACTGATTCAATTATTGCGTTGCGGCATGGCCCGACGCGTCTTCTATGGCCTTTGGCGCAATTTTGCAACGCGGTGCGCTGCGGCCCTTTGCGGCTGTAGTATGTGCTAACCTTAAAAATCTATTGCTGAGGCCTCCTCCATAGATTGCGTCATAAGAGGAATTTTGCCTTAGTTGCTAATCTTGGCAGTCGCATTGCCAACCGCAGCTTTACTTTTATTCAGCTGCTGTCAGGAAGATGCTGCTGCCCATCTCCTGTGTGCGATTTGTTTCGCTAAATTGGACAATTCAAATAATGTGTTGTTTGTTTGCTGCAAAGCTCCAATTATCAAGCGAATCAATACTAAAGCGGACAATTTCGTCGTGTGTCTGTGGATGTCGTAAGACACGACAGTGGGAAACAAACCAGGAGATAGGTAGCAACGTCTCCCTAATATCAACTAAAAAAATCTGCGGTCCCCAACCCGCACGCCAAGCGTGCCAACTATATAGCAAATATCCCACTTATGAGGTAATTCATATGTTCAACAGTGGACTTTTGATGCAATAGTAACCATAAATTACCTTAAAATAATAAACTTTTTAAACTTTTGCCAATTATGTGGTCATATAGATTGGACTGAAGAGTTTGCGACCGATTTAACCTTGCACAATAATTAGGTAGATTTATACAGATTCAAATACTTTCAAGGAAATCATAAAAAAATTATGTCTAAAATATGTGTCAATATTATATCTTTTTAAAATAAGTACCCGGTTGACCGAGCTTTGCTCGGTATTTTTCGGTCGGTTTTTTTTAATTCATGTGTTTTGGAAATTATATTTAGATACAAATTACATACTGATGAAATACGAATAATATTTTTTGATCTTAGCGACATAATAGAAAAAACTGAACTGGTTATTTGAATAAAAAATCATGAGTGCAATTAGTTTAATTTAAATTTTCGTGTTTTTAAAAAATACTAAAAAAAAGAGCTCGAAAAAATAGATTTTCTCAAAAAAAGAAAGGAACTTGAAAAAAAAATTAAAAAAGTCGGTCGGTCGGTCTGGGCTCGAACCATGGTATTACAATTTTGTGACCGCCCACTATTTATACCAATTAAGCTATTTGTAATCTTTAACACATTGTCAAAATTTACCTTCTGATTTTAACGATATCGTAGCAGTATTTCATTTTCTTAAAACACGGATAAAACGACATTTTCTAAAAGGAAATCCTAGCTAGATCGATTTATTGCCCCCGAAACTCCCTGCACACTAAATTTTATGAAAATCGTTGGAGCCGTTTGCGAGATTCCGATTATATATATAAGAATTGCTCGTTTAATGGTAAAGGATATAATATATCTCTTTCTTAAGGGTTCGTTTACATCACCAGGACTTTACTTCCTCGAAGAACTCCGTGGTAGTGGTGGTGAGCAAGCTTGCGACTGCTAGGCTGGCCAGTGCTACTACTACTGCTATCAGTGCATATAATGCCATGACTACGCACAGAAAATTCATCTTCGTTAATTTTTAACGCCTTCTGTAATAATTTATTAAAGCCTATATACCACGTGTGTATATTAAGTATTATTTCCTATGAGCTTCCCGAGAAATTGTGCAATTGGATCACCAGCTTTCTTGCAGATCGGAGTATCAAGATCGTTTTAGACGGTGCAAGCTAAGGCTGCTTGCTATCACCAAACTGTTTCTTCTGCATGTCAATGATATGTTGCAAACCGGTAACATTCATTGCTATGCGGATGATAGTACTGGTGATGCTCTGTACACCGACCGTGCCAATATTTTTTGGGAAAACGTCTACGAATACCGGGACAAACTTGTGTCTGAAGTCAAGTCTTTGCTGAAGAAAGTCTCGGATTGAGGGCGACTAAATCTAGTCCAGTTTAACCCTCAGAAGACACAATTTTGCGCGTTTACCGCTAAAAAGGACCCCTTTATTGTATCTACTTAGTTTCAAGTCACTCCCCTTGTTGCCTCAGCCAGTACCGGAATCCTCGGCGTCGACATATCGAGTGACGTGCAGTTTCGTGGTCACTTGGAAGAGAAGGCCAAGTTGGTTTCTAAAAAGCTTGGCGTGCTCAGCAGAAAGGGACAGTATTTCATGCCGGCACACCGCCTGCAACTTTACAAGGCGCAGGTTCGGCCTCATATGGAATACTGTTCCCATCAATGGTCTGGGGCTCTCCAGTGCCAGTTCCTTCCACTTGACTGCTTCCAGCGCAGAGCGGCTCAAATCGTCGACGACCAAGTGTTTTCCGATCGGCTCCATTCACTGGCGCTGTGAAGAGATATTGCATCACTACGCGGCAAACCTCCCGATACCGATACGATAGGAGTTTTCTTCCGCGTACAATCTTTCTGTGGAATATTTTAACACCGGCGATTTTTCCGCAACGACGCGACCTAGAGACCTTCAAGAAAAGAGCTTACCCCTTTCTAAAAGGCCGGCAACGCACTTGCAATTCTCCAGGTGTTGCAGTCGTTCATGGGCGGTGATAATCACTTAACATCAGGTGAATCGTATACTCGTTTGCGCCCTCTCCTATAAAAAAAATCTGTAAGGGTGAGGCTTTAGCGGAGAGATTTTATGTAGAAAATTAAAGGTGACAAACCAGTACACAGTCCAACCTGAATGTAAGTGTGTACATATACCATAAACACATACATCTATCCTAAATAAAGAATCTAAATGTGAATGCGTTGTCACACTAGTGAAATAAATTGTTAATGAAATAAAATGTTAATGGAATGTTAGCTGTAAAAAGACCGGCGATTGCCGTAGCTCACTATATATAACACAACAAGATTAAACTACTATTTTACGCGGGTGTTCGGTGCTAGCGAAAATCTTCCCCGGTTAAGCTGACCACTTAAAATATAATTTAATCCAAATCTGAGCAAGCTAACTACCTCTTTGGTCCAGTGGTCGTACGGTTACTGATCATGAGCTCCTTGTTCGAAAATCGGGTTGAGCCATAGTCAATAAAATCGATTTTTCTGTCAAGAAATTCGCAGTAGCAGTCCGGTGTCAGAAAGATGGCGGTGTTTCACCCCCGTGCCTAGAAAAGCGCGTAAAAACGATGGTCCCACGCCTGGTCTTGTCGTGTCGGATAACCATATAAATGGACTATGAGAGTAACGTATTTCCATAGGTGGTGGAGCCACGCTGCCGCTATATCATGGTTGTAACACGAATGGGTCGGCTCGACCGGGGTGGGACCACGCTCTCACAGAATACCAATTTAAAATAGCAGATTAATACTGCTATTTTTCGTATGATTAGTGTAGAGATCGGGAAATCCTTTTTTACTGGCAACGAGGCATACCATCTTAGTTCTCAGGGATGACAACGCATTTGCGTTTTGATTCTTAATCGAAGATTAATGTAGATATCTATGGGTCACAGCATCCACTTAGCACCAGGTGGACTGTGTGCTCATTTGTCAACCTTATTCTATAAAAAGTAAGGGAATAGAAAACGCAGTTGCGTTTGCGAATACCTTACAGTATAAATAAGCAATTATTATGAATACTCTAATGAGAATACTCTCAAGTACTATAATCCTGTACTGTGCTGATGGCTAGCCTCCATTTAGACTGGCTGCCGTGACCGAAACTCTGTCTTGAGGATGTTATTATAATCCCATTCTGTGCAAAATCTGTACAAAAAGTTGGAAAAAACACAAGAGTTTTATCTAACAATATTGAAGTGACTGTGGCGGCACTGTCGTCGCGCCACTAGCGAAACGAATCGAAGCCTAAATCGCGCTATCAAAGTTCCAAAATAATGCTGTATATATAGAATAGCTCTCACCCAGAGAGTTGGCCGCTCCCAGGGCCGACCACCTAGCTCGAGGAGATCTTTTCTTTCTAATATAGAACAATCTTTTTAATATAGAATAAGCGTGATTAACGAGCACACAGTCCACCTGATGTAAGTGGATGCTGTGGACTATAAGCATCTAGGTGTGTGCTTGATCGAGAATCAAAATGTGGATACATTGTCACCCTCGAGGACTAAGATGGAATGCCTCATTGCCAATTAAAAGGGTATTCGGTTCTTCTACACACACCATACGAAACACATCAGCATTAAGCTGCTATTTTACGCTGGTATTCTTTGAGAGCGTGGTTCTACCCCAATCGAGCGAACCCATTCGTACTACAACCATAATATAGCTACAGCGGGCTCTACCACGTAAGATCTGCTATTTTCCATTCACTGCCACACAAAAAAAATGAAGTCCTCCTGATGGTTAATGGCTCCACCAGGTCACGAACACCCGCAACCATCTTCAAACATAGTAGGCTACATATGCGTTGATATCTCTGAGGTTAGAATGGAACGCGTCACAGCCTGCAATTATCCTGGCTCTCTATATCCTTCAATCCAGGACACAGCAGTGCGCGCAGTGCCTTCTAGCGGCAGGAATGGGAACGAGGGTGACACTTACCAAGATTCCTAGGGAGAAAAACAGTCCTACCACCTAGTATTCCGATCAGTCCCCAATGGCCGCCTTCATATCAACAACAAGTATATCAATACAATAATTGTTCATATATTTCAGGTAAATTTTCAGACTGCCTCATTGGTCCAGCGGTTGTAGTAGTGTGACTGCTGATCATGAGGTTCTGGGTTCGAATCCCGGGTTGGGTCAAAAATACAATTATTGACTTTTTTTTATAGAATAGGGTTACAAACAAGCACACAGTCCACCTGATGATAAGTGGTTGCTGCGGCCCATAGACACCTACATCTATCCTCGATTACAAATCAAATTGCAGATGCGTTGTCACCCGTGAGGACTAAGATGGAATACCTCGTTTCCAGTAAATAGGGTCTCTGTTTCTCTACACTTACCATACGAAACACAGCAGCATTAAGCTACTATTTTCCGCTGGTATTCTGTGAGAGTGTGGTCCTTCACCGGTCGAACCGTCCCATTCGTGCCACAACTATACTACTAATATAACTGCAGCATGGCTCTACCACGTATAAAATATAGTACCACGTATAAATACATTTTTCAGTCAAGAAATTCTCAGTAGCTGCCCGGAGTCAGAAAGTTGGCGGTGGCACCCACATGCCTCGGAAAGCACGTAAAGTCGTTGGTCCTGCGCCTGATCTCTCTCCGGGCGTGTCGGTTTATTTTCCCATCGGATTCGGATTATGAGAGTGAGTGAATAGTGCGTGCACTTGGGGACTGTAATCCTGTCTGTTGTTGTTGTAATGATGTCTAGTCTCCGTTGAGGCTAGCCGCTATGACCGATATTCGGTCTGGAGGACATTATATTAATTTCAATACATGATTCCTTGCATGTTCAACGCTAGTCTCCATTTTCTGTCCAAATAATTTTGACCTGACAATCTTTAAGTGAGATTTTTCTGGAAAATCCTTTAGCAATCGTAAATGACACAAAATGATACGTAACAGTGCTATTTCCACAAAGCCAGCACTAAAAAATTTAACTTACTTTCAGTTTCAAAATGAATCGATTTCATACACCTTGTATTTATTTAAAATTCGATTTGATATGTTATACGGAAGCAGTTACTGGCAATTTGTTTCGAATTAAATATTACATGGATTCTATAACACTTTTAAAAACTCAATAACATGTAAGTGCTGGTATTTTTCAAAGGAATAAATGTGAAAACTAAAAATAAAAAGTTGCGGTTGCCAATCCGCTTGCCAAGCGTGGCAACTATGGCACATATCCCTATGAGGCAATCTATGGGGAGGCCTATGTTCAGCCAGGCTATAACGGTAACGGTAAGAGTGACAAACAAGCTCATAGTCCACCAGATGGTAAGTGAACTGTGACTCTTAGACACATCTCTATCCCTAATTAAGAATCCAAATGCAGATACGTCGTCACTCCTAAGGCATAAGATGAAATGCCTAATTTTCAATACAAAAGGTTCTCCGGCTGCACCTCCGGTTCACTGCACCCACCATACGAATCACAGCAGCATTATATATATATATATATATATATATATATATATATATATATATACCCATATATGGGTACAGGTATATGGGACCCATTCTGTATATATATATATATATATATATATATATATATATACAGAATGGGTCCCACATATATGCAATAAATGAAACCACAAGTAATACTAGTCCGTAGAAGTGTAGAAAAATTAATACAGATCCTTCGTGCTCTCTGTAACAAAGATTTGCCCACGGTAGCTAACTGTGAAGGATGGTGTTGAGATTCACTGTTTAAATATCGATTTGTATGCTTCTTTTTCCTATACACAGTGTGACCAATGCAGTAGGATTTCGGATGATTAACACATCTAAGAAAGTTAAGGAATTATTTGCCTCTAACTCTATAGTTAATTTAATTTTGGATTTTATGGAATTAAGATGTTCTAAAAATGCAGTTACATTGTATGATGATAAAATTATGAAAGTATCGTCTACTTATAGCTTGTCGAACCCTAGCGTAACAGGTTCAGTAAGGAGGCCTTTCTCCTCAAAGTCTTCCATGAATATATTGGCGACAATGGGAGTACTAGTACTGCATATTCTGCTTGCATGTTATTTTCGTCTAGTTTCCTATAATTGAAATGCAGTCTTCAACAGATAGGCATGTAAATAGTGACTGAACATCAAAACTGACCATGGTTTCATTGTCAGTTAGACGTAGGTCTTTTATCTCACTGACAAAATGTTACGAATCCTGAGTGTGTGCTCTTGTGTGTCCTCTGAGTGGTGATAATATTTTAGCTAAGTTTTGTGCCAATCTGTAAGTTGGCGAATCAATCTGACTCACTATTGGACGTAATGGAGCGGTACAACATACAACTTCGGTAGTTTAGCACACGCAGATATTATGAAGTTGAATAGATTACCAAAAGTACACAAACGGAACGCTCCATTACGTCCAATAGTGAGTCAGATTAATTGACATTGAGACACAAGAACACTGGCTGAGTTTCTTTGCCGAATGACTATACTTAGCCTTTGAGCGAAAAAAGAAACAGCCATTTTATTTTATTTTTATTATAATGTCCCTAATTTAGATTTAGGATTTCTAATATAATACATTTGGATACTATATAATTCAAAGAGGTTGTCAACCCTAGATGTAACATGCAATTTACTTCCAATCTAAATTTTAATATCAATTCTACGCTATTATAATTAAATTAATATAAATTCCAACTCTTATCAGACAAATGGATTTTTATGCCGGATCAATTATACATATATTATGTTTCTATCGATATACGTGACATAACCTTGCTGTGGCTATATTATGGTTGTAATACGAATGGGTCTCGGTTTGGAAAGAATCACGCTCTCAGTATGGTGAGTGTTTAAGAGACCTTATTTACTGAAAACGAAGCATTCTATTTTAGTACTCAGGGGTGACAACGCGTCTGCATTTTGAATTTTAATCAAAGATAGATGTAGATGTATAAGGGCCACAATATTCACTTACAATCAGGTGTCTGTGTGCTCTGTTGAAAACCTTGTTCTTTAAAAAATCGATCTTCATCATCATCAAATTCAAAAAATAAAATATAACGATTGATTAGAAGTCTTAATTCAAACCTCTGTTTACATTGTAAGTATTAATTTCATCTTCACTCTTTTTTTATTTTAATACAGCAAACTAAAACCAAAAAAATATCATCTGGATGATAAGACCGTCTAGTAACTACCACGTTCTAACCTATAGCTACCTCTAAATAGCAGTGCTAGCAATACTGTGTTCCGGTCTGAAGCAAGTAGAGAGCCAGTATATTCAGTCTGTGAGGCATTCCATCTGTCCTCAACGGTGACAACACTTTTATAGCCTTTATTGTTCAAAGTCCACGGACTGCAGTGGACACCGTCAGTTAGACTGTACGTTCATTGGTCACTTCAGTATTTAAAAAAAACCAGGCAGAATAATGATTTCATACGTGGTAGAGCCATGCTGTAGTTAGTAGTATAGTTGTAGCACGAATGGGTCGGCTCGACCGGGGAAGGACCACGCTCTCACAGAATACCAGCGTAAAATAGTAGCTTGATGCTGCTATGTTTCGTATGGTGAGTGTAGAGATCCGGAGACCCTTTTTGCTGGAAACGAGGCATTACATCTTATTGCTCAGGGATGACAACGCATTTTGATTAGTAATCGAGGATAGATGTAGACGTCTATGGGATACAGCAACCACTTACCATCAGGTGGACTGTGTACTTGTTTATCACCTTAACATATAAAATAATGACGTTTTAAAAGAAAATAATGTTTAAAAACAGAAACATATCTTTGGAAAACGAGGCACTTCGATTTTCGATCTAATAGATACCATCATCATCACCGTCCACGTCCACTGCCGAATATAGGCCTCCCCCAAGGAATACCACAAAGCACGGTCCTGAGCCACATGCATCCAACTACTTCCTGCATGTCTTACCAGGTCGTCACTGCGTCTAGTGTGGGTCCATCCTACACTTCACCTACCGGTACGATGCTGCCACTCGAAAACCTCTTTTGCCCATCGGTTGTCCGTTCTTCGGGCTATATGGCCGGCCCATTACCACTTCAGCTTACTACTCCTTTAGGCTATGTCGGTCACTCTGGTCTTGCTGCAGATATCCTCATTTCTTAAGTTAATGAGAAACCATGTGGATCCCTAATAATAATTCAGTACTATATATTATCCAATACTGATATTTTTTCTCAGGCAACTTCCAAAAAAGAGTAGGATCTCAATGAGCCTGTATGTATATTTATTTGTGTATGTTGAATTTGTCAAATTTTAACCGATTTTATTATTACATACATAACATAAACACTGCCTGTCACTTTAAAAAAAATTAAAGATACAATCTATATACGTTCCATTCCTGGGCACAGGCCTCCCCTTATTTTGAGAGTGTTTTAGGGCAAGGAAGTGTCGGCCGCGCTGCCCCAGTGCGTGTTGGCGAACTTCACATGTCTTCGAAATATTTTTTATTTTTATTCCTCAGACATGCAGGTTTCCTCACGATGTTTTCCTTCACTGCCGAGCATGTGGTAAATCAGCACTTAAAATTGCAATTAACAATTTTATTGGTGCCGGCGGGGTTCGAACCCGGGTTACTCGCGTTCTGTTACATTTACAGCAAGCGTTAACCATCTGAGCTACTACGGCTCCATTTAGCCGTGGTGGTAACTCAGAGCCATCTCGCCTCCTTTGCATCCATATATCTACGCATAAACGCTCGTCAGTTAAGGGTACTCCTAATGAGACCCGTTTTCAAAATATTTGATCGCGAATTTGGTCGATGAACCTTCTTTTAGGGCGTCCCTTTCCGACTCTGCCGTTCACATCTGCAATATATGTGCTTTGTTTCCTCGTTAATTTTTTCTACATGACCATGACGCACTACATAACATTTATAATTCTTTTTTTTTTATAAATATTTTATATTTTAAGACATACCAACATGCATTCGAAGATAATTTTAATGAACCGAGTATTGGTGGTTTAAGAATATCCACTACCCACATATCATCCCTTAGGTGTTTTAAGAAGCGACAGAGGGAATCAAATCAGGATATCGGCAGCAGCGTCTTCCTAATATCGACTAAAAATAAAATACTGGATTATCAACCGCTTGCCCAGCGTGACCATATATTATTATATATAATATAATTACATATGACCATATATTATTATATATAATATAATTAAATATGACCATATATTATTATATATAATATAATTAAATATGACCATATATTATTATATATAATATAATTACATATGACCATATATTATTATATATAATATAATTAAATATGACCATATATTATTATATATAATATAATTACATATGACCATATATTATTATATATAATATAATTAAATATGACCATATATTATTATATATAATATAATTAAATATGACCATATATTATTATATATAATATAATTACATATGACCATATATTATTATATATAATATAATTAAATATGACCATATATTATTATATATAATATAATTAAATAAGACCATATATTATTATATATAATATAATTAAATATGACCATATATTATTATATATAATATAATTAAATATGACCATATATTATTATATATAATATAATTAAATATGACCATATATTATTATATATTATATAATTAAATATGACCATATATTATTATATATAATATACCATATATTACATATATTCTCCCTGAAAAGGAACTCAGGTTCGGGCGTCCTCTCAATCGGCCGCAAGGACCAATTGAAAAGGACCAGGTCGGTGTCCCTCTTGATCCTGAAAAGGACCAATTGAAAAGGACCTAGCGGATCGGGTACTAAGAAACAGGAATCGAGGCTTCTCTCGATCCGGCCTCCTATCACGCCTACGTTGGGTTCGGGAACAACGTATGTGATCTCCGCAACGGAGTAACACACTAGGGCGATAACCTCTTCCTTTTCAGCAAGTAGGTTCAGACGGGGATTACGGGTCTTCCGAAGTCGTCCCGGTCCCGACGCCTTAATTCTTCGATGTGGACTGTATAACTTAAAGGATCTTGGGAATGAAACAGCAATTATCTTCAAACCGTTCCGTGAGAGAGTAATCACTTTTCCCTATACTGCTGGTTTTTCACTTTTCTTGAACTTTTTCTCGGATTTTCTTATTTATTTCCGAACTATTTCCGAACTTCCCCGAAGGATTCCCGAACTTTTTCCCCGAAGGATTCCCGAACGATTCCCGAACGATTCCCGAACGATTCCCGAACGATTCCCGAACGATTCCCGAATATTTCTCGAACCATTCCCGAACGAATTGCAATAAAACCCGTTCACTAAGCTACCCCAGAGCTATACGCGAAAGTGAGCCGCGCCATTCGCGCGCTTGCGCAACTCAATTACATGAATTTGTTCTATTACTCTCTCACGTTTTACTCAATATCTTTATTTATTCAAATCATATACAAATACAATTTATCAATACAGGTAGTACAAAACAATATCTACACCATGATATACATCATATCTTCATATCATAAAAAACCTTTTATTTATTAAACGAAAACTGCCTATTTTACTCACAAGTTCGAAATCGAAATTTCTTAAATATTTAACACAGAAAGTTAAAACAATGTTTCTCACTTGAATTTATACATAAGCTAACCAATACAATAGTTTAATTTACATTTTTTCTATTTATTTCACTATTTAAAACACTTTTAAATTTCTTATACAAAACTATCATTATTTCACTTATACACAGGAATTTTCACATGAAAATAACACAGAATTTACCTTTTTTAGCACGTACAATTAACCTGAAATATTTTACAAGTAATTTTTACATAAATCACTGAATTACAAACATTTTAAATTTTTACATATTCGGCCTCCTAAGGGCGTGGCTTGGCGTGCGTCTATGAACTCACACTATTTGAACAACTAACTTTTGCACGGCTCTCGGCTATCAGAAAAAATGAAATTCTGAAATTCACCAATTTTATCAATATTTGGCAAATTAAATGCTTTTATACAATTTTCGAACTGTATGAAACTATCTTTAATCAGATAACAATATAAATGAATGTTCTCATTAATCAATCATAACAAATAGGCATTTGTTTTCGTACAAAACGTATCAAACTTATACAAAACAACATTTATGCAATTAATATCCATTAATTCTGCCTATGCACAGAGTGATTATCTCGACCGGGGAACAAATCCGATCTTTAACTTCACTTTAATATTCTTATGAATTTACATCATTTGAAAGATGATTTCAACCGGGGAACAAATCCGGTAACATAATTTATATCTTAAATTCCTTACGAATTTATTAAGCGATATTACTTAGGAAAACAAACAAACTAGTCCGGCCTGGGAGTCGAACCCAAGACCTTCATATCATTAATTCGACATTTCTTAAAGATTTAACTAAGCATTCTCTTATCAGAGCGTCGTTGCTCGTGACTACCCCTTTTTTCATAGCAACGTCATCGGTTGATTTAATAAACTGAAACATTTTTATAGGCGCGTCGCCAACAATCTCCCCCCCGTGCGTTAGCACCATCATTTGGGAGGCGTCGCGGGTACCAGGACTATTATTCTGGATGTAGGTCTCCTCAAGATACCTGTGCTAGTAATGACGTCAACCACTCTGGTGTGACCGTCTGGTCCCGGTAAAGTTCTACTAATTTTACCTTTTGGCCACGTATTTCGTGGCAACGAATGATCTATTATCAAAACAATATCGCCTTCTTTAGGTTCCATGAACTTGCCGTTATCACCTGTTCGAGGTATTAACGTAGGCATGTATTCTTTCAGCCATTTTGTCCAAAAATGGTCG